TGCTCAGATAATAATAATATAAGCTAATATACACATGACTGATAGTGCTTTATAAATATTTCTACATTTCATCTATAGATTACACAAATTATACGAATTACACCACTGACGTTATCAGTTCACTGGAAAGTTTCCAAACAGGTCTAGGTTTGTTATTCTATAACTGCTGATAACGCATCCTGAGGAAGAACTCAACAAAACTACTGCAATCACTATTCATTTTTGAAGCAGGATAATAAGTGGTGTATCCTTTCATCTCTGTGGGAAAATTACCCTACACATAGTAATGCATTCTCAGTTATTCATTATCATTGAAGTCAAAGGCCATTCATTTTTGCAGCAATATAAGCTTATATGTAAGTAGCCAGAATACTCACTGCATGTGAGCTGCACGACAGTTCTTCAGAAATAGACAAACTTCACATTCACAGCATTTTGGGTGGTTTTTTTTTATTTATTTCTTTGTTAATGCTTCTTCATTTGTTGCTGTTGTTTTTTCCCATTTTTTCCTTTTTTTTTTTTTTTTTTCTCTCTTTTTCTTTTGTAGTGGAAGCACAGTTAACATTTTTCCAATCGTTTTTCAAGGAAAGCACAGTTCTTGCAGCTTTAGTGCAGAAATCATTTGGCATTCAACAAGAATGCTGGTTTGTCTAAACAGAAAAGAGATTATTTTCCAAATCTAAAAAAATAAAAACATTAAATAACTCATAGTTAGATTGCATGCAAGACCTGTCTTGCACTGTTGCAGTTATTGATGTTGGATTACTGGAGTAATACATATTTTGATACAGGGAATGGGTATGGGCAGAGTTTCCAGGCTTAGATTCTTGTTTCTTACAGCTCATGGAAGAAAGTTTCTCTGTAAATGTAAATTCCATTTGTTAAGCATTAATGAAAGAATGGCAAGAAGAACGTAATTTCAATGCAAGTATGGTCTTGTTCATTTTATCTTGTTTATCTTACTCTTCAAATAATCTAACACAACAAAACCAGGAATAAACCACAGTAAAACCAGAAAATATGTTACAGTTACAAATCTAAAGAAAAATATCCGAGCAAACCAAATTGTCAGCAAAATCAGCTAGTTTCTATGAGCTGACTAACAGGCAACATCTTTAGAAAGGAAGTTTTAATATCCCTAAAGCCTATGGATTCAAGATTTACAGTGAGTTTGGTGCTCAAAAAATTAAGACCCAGGTCTTTACTTTATATGCGACTTTCACAGTTTTGTCCTGTGAGTGTCAAGATTATATTGCAACACAAAAAAAAAACAACCCTAAAGATAAAAAAAATCAAATAATTTGCTTGTATAATTACTTTGATTAAATCACAATCCACAAAGATACCCCAGCCCAAATGAAAAGATGCATAGATAATCTAAAAATTTGCCAAAAATAGTGGAAAAAAACGAACACAGCATAATACGTTGAAAGCAATTTTTGTCACAAGCAGAAACATCAACGTGGATTTATATTCTGCAATTAGTTTCATACCTGCATATACACACATCCAATTTAATATTAGCTGAAGCACCTGTACTTAGTCCAATTAACAAAAACTGCATAACCACAGTAGTGTTAAGAATCTCTTATTAAAAAATGGATCGTGTTATAAAATACACTGGGAAAAACTGATGGAGGATTCATTACCATCACCTACATTAAATCTAACCCATATCTAATATATTTCTCTGGCTTCAAAAGATGCAACACGAAGCTTATTGCATTATTGTTAAGTCTTGAATTATTTCTCAGTTCTGATAGAAAACAAGAAAATGAAATTCAACAGCTCATACTTAGTCTTGATATTTTTTTGCGACCTCCTGGGTTATAGTACTGTATTATTATGCCTTGAAACAATAAAGAACATTTTAAAACAATATTATTAACATAAATACTGATCTTCAGTTGTAGAGGTTCTACATAAGCAAGTTATTATTGTCATTTTGTTGTTGTTAGGTTATATTTACTCTTATAAGCTTATAATTTGATAAACTGAGATTTACTATACAGCAAAATTGATGCACAATTGATGCACAGATGTTACCTTGTTTCATGATGTACTTGCTTTTATAATGTTCACCCCTAGGTTATAGGTTGCAACAGGTTAAAAGCAACATTAAAAAGAGAAATTTTGAGCTAAATTTAAGTTTACATCTCACATACCTTGGACATCATGAGGACAGAGGAATGGGAAGATGCCAGCAAAGCTAAAAGATGTAACAGGTAAAGGCAAACGGTACAAAACCACAAAACAGAGATTATCTAACCCTGCCTATATCAGTTTATAAAGGAACACTGTTGGCATCTTTACTCTAACTTACACTTCAAAATAAATAAATAAATATGTGGTACGAAAGTATTTTAATTAAATAGCATTTTAAAATACAGCAGTACCCAGCATCAATCAGGTTTCTTAAAATACAAAAAGGAATGTGTTCATTAACATATTGCACACATTAAAAAAAAAAGTTTTTTTGCATTAGTCATATATACTGATATATTTTTTTCTCCAAGCCATTCATAGCTAAAATCTGAGCAGTACTTGATTACATCAGCTTCCGCTGTACAGCGCAGAACGTGGCCTTGAGGTGTAAGAGCATGTTGGAAATACAGACTACGTAACACAAAAATAAAACTTTCTCGTAAGCTCACGTGCTTATGTCTTATAAGATAATACAATCACCTGTTGGATAGATGCTCACTGAATATATCTTGCTTAGTAATAAACATGAATAGAAATAAATTTAAAGAAAAAAAAAAAAAACAAACTAAAAAACAAACCTAAAAACCCAGATAATAGTGAGCTTTACCAAGAAACATGCCTAGGAATCTGAGGCAAATTATACTTGTTAATGTTGGAGTCACTGAGAACAGTTAACACAATGCCACCAAATGTCAACTGGAGTATTTTGCAGTAACTTACCAAAGAGGTCTGTGTTTAATGAATATACGAATGCTTGATTTCTCAGTTTTCAGCTTCAGATGGTGAAGATTAAGTGCTAAGGGTGTTACTGTAAACGTTTAAGTGAGATGAACATCACTGATTTTCTAATTTTACCACATGGTTTGTTTCAGAAGAAAACAAGCACCACTTACATAGCTCTCCTGCAAGTCAGTAAACAGGCACACACACACAAAAAAATCAAGACAATTTGCTTCTTTGTTTACGTGCAGGATATTTAGTTTGGTTTGCAAAGTATGAGAAGAATAATAAGAACCTCCTGGCAGAATACCACAACTAAATTTCTAAAAAGCCACTCAGTTAATCTCGGTGTTGAATCTAGCTGTTTCGAATTATTGTGATGTATAGTAACAGTCTTATTGACAATATAGATGTACAGAGCCAAAAAAAGCTAGAAATAGTGGCCAAAAATGATGAACTAACAGCCAGCCCAAATGACAACAAACACATGGCCATTAACCAAAGAATGGAGGGGTTTAGGAATGCAGCTGTCTGTGGTCTCCTAAAAGCTCCAGAGGAATGAAATACTGCAAGGATTGGCAAAGTCTGGATGAGAAGTACTACTCCTGAAGATAGTAGGTCCTAAAATGGAGTCAACCATCAGTTCACGGTGGAATTTAGAGATTTCTGTGGTCAGAGAATATTCATTCCAATGGCCTCATAATGTACATCAACAAATTAATATTGTATGGATGTCATTTCAAAGCCTACTGAAGATGAAGAGCCATTACTGAAGCCATTAGAGCACAGATGGTTCAAACTATATGCAGATATTCATACTTGCATTTCTGCATTATAGCTGCTTTTTTTTTCCCCTCCTGTTGAACTGTAATGAATTGTCTCATAATCTATTCCATCTTCTTGCCATTAGCAGGCTTTGAATGTTCACAAATAGGAGCAAAGAACTCATTTTCCAGAGCTTTAATCACACAAAGAGGGAATGCCTAATTCTCTAAATGAAATGGTCTGTGATCACTGAAGCAGAGATTTAATATATCACGGCAAATTAGGTAGATTTTAATAAATTACTTATCTCCCTGAATACTTTACATATGCTTATGAAGAAACATAGCCTGTTTGCAAACAGTGGAAATCCACAGCACATAAAATCCTTTGAAGAAAATGACAAATAAAAAAGTAAATTAAAAAATGAAATGTATTATATCCTCGTTCTCAAGAGACAATCCTTTTGCAGCACTGGTTCACAGCTCCATTAAAAATATCAATTAAATCCTTCAATGAGATTGGTTAAAAGCTAGAAAATTAACTTTCCAAGATAGACACTGGTTATTCAGATACAACAATTCATTCCATGTCTGATAGAAGTTCTGAAAGTGATAGAAAACAAATGAAATCACAGTTGCTTGTCCCTACAGCTCAAACTAGGTGAAGCAAAATCTGATACTTTATGGCTTCTTTTTGTGCTTTGACAGATGTTGGCTGAAAGTAAATCTTTTACTGTATAGAAAAATTATTGTGCCTGCCCTCCCCCTACTTCAAATAATGATAATCATAAACAGCTGATTATAATGTTAGCGGAAGGGCAAAAGTTAGTGAAAAAAAGGTTGCTGTAATTTAATAAGTCTTCCAACTAGCTTCATTTTTTATATTTAATTGATAGGAACTGTACGCATCAAAGAAAACACATACTGAGATTTAATGTGCATAAAATGGATATTAGCATTTTAAAGAGGCAGATTAACACATTAATCCAAGTAATTTTCATATATTGCTTTTAATAAAATCTTCACAGTATAAAATTCTTAATGAGGCTAATCACAGGCATTCCATTTAGCGGGGTGATTAGGGATAACATAAAAGTATTTTTAATCAGTTTTCTAAGGCTTATGGTTTTTTTTTTATTAAAAATTAAAAATTTGACTTGCATTTTTATTACTGTTTTATGTAGGAAAAAATGTTGAAAATGCAAATAAAGCACATCATTCAATCATGTAGGTATTAATTATTCACAAGGCGCTGTCCACTGTGGGGAGATACTCAGCCCTAGGGGGGAAATATAAAAACAAACAGACCGAAAAGTTTACAAAACTTTATTATTATAAATTAAGAGTTCTTTTTGTATAAATTATACATTAAATATATTTTAAGAATTGTGAAGATCTCATCTTTGAACACTGTCAAGTATGTATTTGCAGAAGAAACTTCTGTAGGCAAACTTCCCTTTCATGCCTCCGAGTCATCTTTGCATTCCTCGTAGACTGAACGCAGTGCATGGAGGGCTTCCACTGTTACTCTAAGCTTACCAATTATTGCACTATCATCTTGCGAATCAAAAACTAGAAAGGAAGCATCAGAAAACAGCATTAGTAAATTAATTTAAGGCTTTGGTTTTGTTCCGATAATTTTGCTTAGGATTTGGATAGATTAAATGGCACCTAGCATATGCTGAAAGAACAAAAAATAGCTTCCAGTTCTGGCACTCAGCCCTATAGGATTTATAAAGAAAGCTCTCAGTCAACTTTCTCATTAGAAGTAGGACCTAGTACTCAGCCTACTGGAACCTGTGCACCCTAAGAACTACAAAGTTCTTCAAACAAAAGCATTTGCATTGGAATTAATTTTCAAGTAAAGAGAACTTCCTGTATGAAAACTGCTTATGCAAATTGTTTTTCCATAATTCACAAATACAGATATTCAGATATCAGAATGCAAGCTATTAGAGACATACCCACGTATGTAAATACCACTAAAATGTAAAAAACATGCAGATGGATGTATTTTGTACAGCAAGTATATACATTATACAGTGCCTATATGACCAGGGCAAATCAGTTTGGGGAGCTATCAGTACTTAAATGGTAAACTGCTACTTTCCATCTGGTGTAATGTAGGCTTCTGTGTGCTGTAAAATAGCAAAGAGTAGACAAAGATGGTGTTTATCCACTATACCTTCATCTTTGTGCATGTGTATTTTAAAGCAGTATTTAAAATTTTTATTTTACAGAAATTTGCTAATGTGATTTACAATTGCACTCTTCTACAGTATCTACATAAGCCCTGAGGGCCACATTCTCTGCTGCTTTGATTAAAAACATGCTAACAGTCAAGAATGAGGTTACTTCCCATTCCTGCATAAAAAGTAATGAGGCTGTCTAACATGACTCTAGGAGGAATTGGACTTAAACCAAATAATCTTGACAGCACATCTCCTCAAAGCTATATGTACAGCAAAGAAACAGCAAGGTTATGTATTTACTAAAAAGATTGGGATAAATACTCGGGGAACATGCAGTGATACTGTGTGCTACAATGCCCAGGCTGCTGGGACAGCCAGAATTAAGTTCAGGGAAAGAAAACCAAAGGATAAACGTTCCATCATTTACCTTGCTGACACAGCTATTAGAGGACAGACTGGATGCTATTCTTAGAGATGCAAACAAATTTTATGTATCTTTGGACAAAATGCCAATCTGAAGAGGAAATTTCAGTGGAAATCATTCTTTTTACTTATAAGAATAGTAGGGTAACTGATTGAAAATAGAAAATGTAAATTAATTTCCCTCAGTTTTAATATTGTCACGTTATCCCCAAGACATACTATCATATGCCGTTGTATATGCTCATTTTCATCCAGTCCTCAAAAAGTATAAAAGAAGTTTAGAGCATTTAACTTTTGAAAGAAGGATTAGAATCACATTGCCACTGGCAACAGCATTACTGTAAATCCATATGAAAAAGATACTAACTATCAAGGGTATGTTTTAACTATCAAGAGACACTAGAAATCTCCCTCTTGGAATAATCCAAACTTTTTATAGTGAAAAAGAAGCCAATATATTTTTATATTTTTTAGAAAATCCAGTCCATTAGATAAACTTTATAAGCTTCAGTAGTGTTTTACTACGAAACAAATTAGTATCTGCAGGGATGGGGAGATAAGAGCAAGAATAATTGCATTTATATACAGTACTATTGCTTTCACAAATACGATATACATAAAGTTAAACAAAATAGCTTGAATACCTTATGACTGTAGGAAACGTTCCTCTCAACACTGAAATAGCTGGCATTACATAATAATGATTACCTAAGGCAACTAATACTAGTGTTCTTCTTATCCTAATAATTTTCTCAGATGATAATTTAATTATATATTATTTAATTTAATTTAATATAATTTAATTATATATTATATTAAAAAAATTTTTAGAGTTTGTGGAAGATGTTTTTCAACACAACAAAATAACTTTTATGTCACTATTAAATCTTATCAAACAGGAATGGTGACAAAATGACCATAAAATCCACAACAAAAGCAAGTTTCCAATGAGAGACTATGAAATGCCTTTTTGGAAGAGATACAATGCCTGTATAACTACTTGGAGAAAAATGACTGGTGGAAAAAGAATTAAGAGGTTCAGTCACAGAAAGAACTGCATCAAATCTGTGTATTATTTTTCCAGGATATGACAATTTAATTCTTCATAGAATTCTTATTGTGTTCCTTGAACTTTGATAAATACTTTTGGTATTTTAGCAATGGCACAGATGCAAATCATGCATGATAATAGGAATGGATAAGAAACTATTTCTTTCCCTCACTAATCAGCCCATCATTCAAGGAATGGTAATCAGACATACGAGTGTGGAAGAATTAGTGCAGCTTTTGACCAGGACTAACAATTCTTGTTGTTAAGAGTGATTTGCAAGCACAGGCACACTACTTCTGGTAATCATGCTGCTCACTTACCTTTATAGGAGATTAACTGTTAACAGTACACTCCCAGCTTATTCTTTACTTAGCTTTACATAATGGAGAATGAGAATGGAGTGGAGCAGGTAATGACAAAAACAACAGATAGTCCTGTTCCTGCTACCCTGGAGATCAGAAAGGGCCAAACCAGACACCTCCCTATAAAAAGACCAATTAACCTTCTCTGCTTCATAAACCTGTTATCATAAGACACAGGAAACAGAAGGTTCCACACCTACTCACCTCATCTTGCTTTAATAAGTCACAGTGAAAGTTCAGTCAGACTGTTACAGAAGAAATCTTACTTTAAACTGTTAGACCTAAACCAAAGCCACTGGTATTTCATTTTGACCAGAGACACGTTTTATACAGAGAATGCAAACTTAATGTAAATCTGTAGATTACAGAATTACTTTAAGCACAATACAGAAATTAGCAATGCAGTATTTGTTAACACAAGTTTTAATAACAAAGTAATATATATTTACAGCCTTTTTGGATGAAGCATACTGTACAAATAGAGAGTCATAGTAAGCAGGCATGTCCTTAAAGATCTTAGGTTTTATCAACTGATTATTCTGTGCTGAGTATGCTATTTTTTACTTCCTTTTCTTTTTTCCTTCAATTTACATTTTAAGTAATAACAAAATGACACAGCTTTGAAAATTTTGTAAACTAATCGGGAGATCTCTAGTTGATATTAAGAAATTTCTTATTCAGACAACGTCAAACAACTACTTAGACAATACTGCTTGAATTTCTTATGCAAAGAAGAAATTCAAGTAACTGCTGGTTTCAGTACGGTAACAGTAAAATAGCCTCTAAAACTCACCAAAAATATCTTGCTCGATGACATCCCTTCCTTTCTGAAATATCTCTCTCAAGCTGACATAAGCAAAACCGATATCTTCACATTCAAGATCCTGTTTGTCTTCTGGGGGATCACTGACCACTGTAAACAGTAGGCTAAGCAAAAAAAGAAAGGAAAAAAAAAAAAAAGGATTTTTACCTTCAAAAGGGCTTAAAATCAACTCAAAAACATATGAAGAAGGCAAAAAGGCTCTACATTACCAGTTAAGCATAAACCAGATCTCTCTATTAATGATGTGCAATGTTTTCAACAAAAACAATAGTTTGAGAGACCCTTCCTGTCACATTATCCCTCCCTCTTTACCATTATTTAACAGTAGTAGAAGAAGTCACTTCGTTTCTTTACACTTCTTCCCAAAACCAAGTTTATACCTACGTACTTTCAGGTATTTCAGAAAATTAATTTACACAACATTTAAAAGTAGTAAGGGGTATTTTTGTTTCTTTTCATTTTTCACACCACTGTCCAACACCATTCAAGCTGTCTGATGTGAAGAACTAAAAACAACCGAATGGCAATAATACTTAGTTTAGATTAAATGTCATTTATGTTGCATTGGCTAAAATCTTTGATAGCAAAGCTTGTAAGAGAAGTTCCACTACTTCAGTTCAGGCAGGCCACACTTAATGAAAGTGTCTGGGCTTGGACGTATGTATTGCTTGTTATGAAGTAAAACTTTTCAGCTGTCCCCAGTTACAGTTCTTTTGTTTGCAAAGTAGTCTTGGAACTTGTTAACTGGATTCTTCTTGTAATGGTCAAAACCAGACGCGCTCCAGAAGTAGCCCTGCCAGCATTCTGCTGCAAAAAGACATTCAGTCAATAGGATCAGCTAGGAGTATTATGAATTATGAAAATCATCCCAAAATATGTATAGTGAATATCAGACCGTTAGGAACAGACACATTGCTCTAGAGATTCTCTCCCACTGCTAGATAATACAGACATAGCCTTACTAAGTCCTAATCCATGCATTTTTTGATTTTATAACAAGTGGTGTGAGACATGAGATTGCATGATCACATGTAATGTATCTATTTATGTTCTAATATGGAATTAATCATTACAAGCATCATTTCTAGCAACATTTGTGACAGTGAGTTCACCTGAAAACATACTACATAGTTCAATACACTTAATATACTATCACTGCTCCTATAAGATGGCACAGTACAAACATCAATAAAGTGTCAGGCTAAAGCGCACTGGGGCAGCTTTCAATGATATTTACATCCCTGATAACTTGGTTTCCTGAACTTTAAAGCTCAAATGTAAAGTTCAGTTCCTCCATCAGCTGAAAAAACTCTGATACTAGTTTTGTAAGGCCTGTGATAGAAAACGTGTTGAAGATATAATTTGGCCAGGTTTAAAAATGCACAGAACTGAAAAGATTTGGTGTATAGCAATCCTTTCATAAATTTTGTTGCTTGGTGGTACTCTTGCTAGGCTGAAGTAGGGAACTAGTCCAGTGATGGACTTCTTGCCTTGCTATCTGGTCAGCACAGAACCAAAACTTCACACAGTGAGAACAAATAAAACAACCTATGTATGTAACATTACTATGATAGTGACAATAAAAGATGAATGCTTCTTTTCTGGAAAAAGTTTTCTGCTGTTGTTGTACCTTATTTCATAAACAAAAACAGTCTGAACTTTTCAACTCAATCACTCTACATTAGATTTGGTAAATAAAAGACACTGCGGTATTTATAGGTGAAATCGTAGCCTAAAAGACTAATTAGTTTTCTTCACTGAATTATTTCCAAGGGGAAAAAAAAAAAAAGAACATTCAGTCCTCTGTTTCATTAAATTCTTAATAGAGCACATTATCCACTTTCCTATTCTATATGATAAAACCAGCCTTCTGCTTGCTTATGTCTTTTGCATTTCCAAACTTCAGAATTCTTTTTGTGATATTTTCCATTCCCACAAGGATCTTTTCATGGAGTTTCATGCTCCATTTCAATAAAATCTATTTCCTGTCAAAGTTGTGAAATTTTGCTTTAGAAGGGAAAAAGAATGAAGAGGGATCACCCTACCCTACTATAAAAATAAATAAAAAGTATTTTAGAGATGGACAACTAACCCTACATTTCAAATAGAATCAACAAATGTTCTCTTCTACAATTAAATTTATATATAATAGCCAACCGTGGAATCAAATTATAAATAGGTTTTTGGAAATTCAAGGGCTAAAGAACACTTTCTAAAGCTTTCAAACTCTTAATTCTTTAAATTCAGAAAGCAAAAGCTGTACTACTCTGCTATACACAGTTTTAAAATTCAGTGCTGATGAAATGCTGATGATAGACTCACGCTCTTGCAAATCAAGATTGTTAACAAAAATCTCAAAACATAGCACTAAACACATAACACAACAATAAAAGAGACAGTGATGTCCCACGCCACACAAACCTACTCCAGGGAAGAAACGCCATCCATCACCACTGCAAGATGTAGGTAACGTTCCAGGCTGAAACAGAATTCTCTCTAGTTCATTAGATATGTCAGTATAGTCAAGGAACAAGACAAGCCAAAAGGCAAACCTTAAGCGCTCTTTATAAAGACCTTTTATGGAGTTTTTCTGTGCTCATATGTACCTGTCAGTTTTTAGATCTGGCTTTTGAAGTATAGACTTGAGATACTCTCTTCTTGCGCGATTATTTGCCTCATCCACATGTATCACTGCAAAGCAAATTGGAATTAATATAATTATTTAAGACTATTTTTCATCTTCTACAAGAAAGATTGTGAAGAAAAGAACAAAGAAAAAAAAACATCTAATTCCCTTGTCTTTCCTAAGGAAAAGCAATAATGCCAGAATCAAATTTGAAAGGTCATGTGATCTAATGGCATGTCACTGGCAGGTTTATGTGCATACTGTCAAAAAAGATACAAGCAGCATCTAAGCATGCCACATAGCTGTCATTTTCTGTTAATGGCAATAGCAGTCATGATTTTAAAAGCCAGTGGTCTTTACTGCTTTGTATTTGAAGGGATTTACTGTATTTTCTTCCACTGAGGAACCTAGTGATAATGATAACTTATGGCAGAATGCTTGTCCTTTTTGACAGCCTCAGTAATTTAATCCTCCTTTGCTGCCACAATATTTCAATAAGAGGAACAACTAGACCAATGGACTGAAGAAAATCCACAGCCTGAGGAGTATGTGTGAATGCTCTGAAAGCCATCCAATGTTTTCCTTTATGAACCAGCATTTCTTCTTTCCTTTTTTCTTTATTTTTTTTTTTATTATTACCATTAATATGACCTACAGCAAAAAATAGACTTGCTTTGGAAAAACAGTAAAATAATAAAAAACAGAGCTCTAGGAAATTTTTAGGAGGTTTTTTGGGCATCTTGTATTAAGAAAGTTGCTCATTTCTTGCACATGCTATCAACCAACAAGTATTACAAGAGCTTAAACTACTCCAAAAGATTATTAAAAGCCTGTATGAGAAAACTGAAAAATCAGTATTAAAAGAACTAGTAAAGCAGTTGCAAAAATGTTTGAGGACAGAAGTAGCATGAATGCAGCTCTGAGTCATAAACACAGCTCATAGGAACTTGTTTTTTTTTTTTTTGTTTGTTTTTGTTTTTTGTTTTTGAAGGCAGCAAGAGTTAGAAATTTGTCTCTTTAAATTCCATAATCTTTACTATTCAAGAGCCTCATTTTCCTCTAGTAACTCTTAAACTACATTTTTTGCTTTAAAAGCAAAACAAGAAAAAAAAAAAACCCACCTCTTTTTCCTTCTCCACATCAAATTAAGGTTTATTACATGCTGTTATAAAGCTTTAAATTATTTCATGCTCTCATATGTTATCCAAGTAAATTTATTTAACAAAAGTTAATAATTTTACCAAGGTACAGGGTAATGGAATATAGATATACAAAATAGAGATAAGAAGGTTCATATTAATTTCTTGCAAAGGAACTTATTGAGGGTTATACCTCTATCAAAGAGTTCTTCTAGGAAGCACATCTTGTAGAGCCACCAGTTTTCCAGTTTTCTCCAAAGCTGCTTCTCAACTCTTAGGTAATCATTACTAGAAAGTAGTTACTTAGAGAAAATAGCCAGCACTTGAATCATACAATGAAAGAAATCTACAGTTCAGCACCTTTTCCCCTACCAGCAGGGAGCAAAGCATTGGTGCTTGGATTCCTAAATTTCTACCCACAACATGGTGAATTTCTTGGACAGGCTAAAAGAAGCTGTTACTGCCATCTGCTATTCTTTTGGGTAAGTGCATGACTTTCCACATGTGCTAGTGACTCTCATGGCCAAGTACACTTGGGGCCATCACAGGAAACGATGGGAGGCAGCAGGGAGACAGATGGACAGCCAAGGAACTTCAAAGGAGCAGCCACATCAACAGATTTTTCCTTTCCCCAGAAGAATTCAAACTGGAATTTCCTAAGTTTGCTAAACCTGTATCTAAAATAATTTTGAAATGGAAGTCTGTTCACAAATCTAAAGAGTTTGAACTCAGTGGAACTCAAGTAAAATATTCAACACAAGAACTTTTTTCACATCTGGGGAAAAAAGTGATTAACCATCGCAAAAAGGAACTTACATTTTTACGTAGTGATGAATAACTTGCTTTCATATCACCCCATAATACTGCTTGAACTTAGCATTATAAGATTGCTCCAATGCACAGAACATCTTCTGTTTCTATCCAGTTAATTGCAAAAATCATTCAACATTAACTTGTGACAGTTTGCATCTAAAATTATCATTTCTAAGTTCATCCTAAAGAAGCACCACAATCTGAAAAACTACAGCATCCCTGAATCTTACTAAAAATCACTGCAATTCTAAATAACAACATAGTTGGTTATGTTACAGAATACTACTTCCGTAATGCAGTTTCTAACAGAGCTAAATGTGCATGTGATGAAGCAAAGAGTTTATCACAACAATAAAAGAATGCCTCATATTGTGTTGAGCACTAATGGAAAAAAGGAATCATCACTGGGCAGCACGTTTACATTTCTGTTATGAAATTTGAACACTCCTTTGGTCTTTTTATACTCGTACTTCAAGGTTGTCCATATAATCACATGTTAACTGAGAAAGCATTTTGATTAGTGATTTGATTTTTGATAAACCTTCTTGTACAAACTGTTACATATGAACCAATAAAAGCAAAATACTTGAGCTGCTCAAATAAAAAATAAAAATATTTATAATTAATGATTTTGGAATACTTATGGATGCACATATTTTTCTATGTAAAACCTAGAACGCTAACTTTCCTTTTAAGTGCAAAGCACATTTCTTTCTCCTGATGCAAATCTCATTTTTATTAAAGAAAATATTCAATTAATTTCAAATATGCAACATGTTGAGTTCTAACTAGATGTAAGAGAGAACTAAACAAATAAAAGATGCCGTAAAGCTATAGTAAACACACACAAATTTCATTTCTGTTATCTTGCTGGCTTTCCAACTGACAATATCAAACAGTAGACTCACCTTCCCTCCCTACCCCCACCACGTGGAAAGCTAATTTTAAGCAGAAATTGGCAGACTAACATGTAAACAGAAAACTCCACAAATAACAACCATATTACTACAATACTGTGGAATATAATCCTGGAGAAACTAAGACCAAAACCACTTTCTGATATTTGTCAGAAAATTTTAAAGTTTAAGCAGTTCTACAATTGCAAATAGAGTAGCAAATGAAAAAGCAGTTATGAAGCCAAATTTTGACAAGCAGAAATAGTACAATGTAGCACTACCAGTTCAGAATTCATTAGGAATTACAGACTCTGCAAAGCATGATAGTGTCTTCCAATATCACAGCTTGAAATATCTTTAAATTTCATAACTGTCTGAAGGGGCTGTAATTTCATTATTTATTCATCACTGGTTCTTCTTTCCCACCTTTAACTTATCTGTTCTAACTTTATTATGTTTTGCTAGTTGTACTTTGTGGAGCTGATAATTAAAAAATCTAATATTATGCTTAGATCATATCCAAAACACATAAGTCCCAAGACTGAGTAATAACTTCTTTTTAATACTGTCTGAATGTTTCTTACATGCCAAACAATGACAACTCTAAAAGGAAGAGAAATCCAGTGCTAGAATGCTTTAGTTGGCTTATCGTGTTATTTCAATGTGGTTTTATAAATTTCATTTCAATAATTGCTTCTTGTCTAGCATATTTGGATAATTGTTTACAGCAGCTAACAAGATAAACACTGTTAAACTGAAAGTTCTTATTTATCTGATGCCTTACTCTTATTTCTCATATGATGACAGGACTCCCATTTGTTTAAATGGAAGTAAGCCTCAGCAAACGAAATGCAGTTTGTAGTGTTCTCTACTTTTTGGTGTTTGTTTTTCCTAAAGCCATACAAAGATTAGTGTCTTCCTCAAAGTTACAGAAATTAAAGCATTTTAACCCATCCTATATTTTCCCTCATATGGGCATTTGCACAATAGGGAAGAAAATTCTCAATGCAACATCTACAGGGGTTACAATCTTCAACTTGGGGGTAATTCAATAGTTTGTGAATATTAGAAGGATATACATTAATAGAAAAAAATCTTTGCAGTCTCCCTCTAAAAATCAGAATTATGGTTTTAAGGATCTGACTGCGATACGATTTACAAAGCCATTTAAGAAAAAAACTATTTTCAAAAGAATCCTTAATACGAATGTGTCTATTAGCAGTGTTTCCAAATAGCAAAATGATTCATCTTCTCCAAGATATTCTAAGTTAAAAATACATTACTTAATTAATGCCCAAGACAACGTGAAGCACCCAGACCGACTCTTAAATGTAGTAGAATTTAATAGCAAAAAATAAAATAAAATGTTAATGAATAAGTAAATTGAAATACCATGGAATTGCTGGAAAAATGATTAATAGAAGCTGTTTCTCAATCATTATAACATTACGTATTTCAGGTGCTTTTCAGAAAATAGCATGGAGGATGCAAGATTAAGTAATTTGAAGAATACAACAAGGTATTAGCATTAAACACTGCTGAATAAACCACTTCAAAAAGTTCATACTAAGGGACTACTGGATAATACCAAGCAATGGTCAAGTCCTCTTTCTCTTTTGAACTGTTTTAGTTGTGTATAGTTATAGGGAATGCTCATCTGCTGTGTCATCAGATACCAATAAAGACATTTTTTTTTTCAGAAATACCTAATTTGAGTTATATGAAATCTATTTTTCAAAATTCTAGACTAACAGTATGCTTAAGTATGCTGTACTATCATCATTTCTTACAGAAGCATAATTCAACAGTTTATTTTTTATTAGCTAGTTACAACCCTAGCATTTCTTGAGAAAATTTGTAACAGTTCTGAAAATATTTGGGAACCAAACAAATACAACTGGAACACAAATAAATCCAACTACCATATAAAGGACTTAGACTTTACTGATAGGCTTTGATTTAGAAGAAAATTTAAAGAAGAAAATAAATCTGATTAGAAATTCATTACACTTACCACTGCTATAGTTATAGTGAACCCTGTGTCCACTTGGTGGTTTTGGAAGTGACATTGGGGTCTCGTGTGCAGTGAAATTGTAAAATCTGCATTCTACAAACAGTTGTTGTATTGTTTCATCTTCTACAATTCGTGACTCAAAAAGACAAAATGATATAATTTCAATCTTGATTTTTTCAGTTGCCTGTTTAAAGACAAAACACAAACACGAATTATTTTTCTTTTCTTGAAGTGCTATCTAAAACACAAACATACACGTGTAAAACATTGGGTGCTTTGTATGAACATTTACTGATTGATTTTGACATGGACACAATGAGATTCTAAAGCCCTAGGGTTTGAAGTTGAGAGTATTGCTGGAACAGATACTGATTTACAAGTGGTGTTGAAAACACTTTTTTTTTTTTTAAATAGTCATACTCTGCTGGAGAAGGATAAGCTGGGGCTATCTTCATACATTAATTATATCTGAACTACAGATTTCAGTTGCCATCATTTATAACGATAAACAAAGTCATCTGCACCTTCTTCCCACAGCCACCTGAAAATAGGTGGAAAACCTGGAAATAGGCTCAGTAATACGAGGTAACAGGAATTTGCCAGTGAAGGAGAACTTTTAGACTTCCATGCCTACTGCAGAGTGTACTACAGTTAGTTCAATAAAATGACGAAGTCAAATCACAAAGTACTTGGGCATATTAAGTAACACTGTACATATATGGAATTCAATTTCACACACTGAACTTGTCTAGTAAAATCAAATACCATTAAATGGTAAAATTAACAATATGATAATAAAGTATTCCAAATGGTCTCCATCAGCACCTTTAGCTGAAATGACAATTTTTCTATTGCTTATAGAAATTGTTTCATATCACCTAGCAACGTCTGTATTATTTGCTTACAGGTATATTTTAATAAGTGTTATTGTCTTTAAGTAGAAATGTCAGATCTGACAGATAGAGTCACAGCTTTTTCCCTAGGTAACTGTGATTTAAAAATAATTAAAAAAAAAAAAAAAGCCACTACAATTTCAAAGTTGAAGTACATAGATGAGCATTCAAAGATGAGAGTCATCAAACAATAAGCAAAGCTCCTTGCAGTACAGAAACATTTCAAAAAATCCATTTATAATTTATTTTTTTATTTTCATGTTCACAACTTTATTAGAAATATTTTCCCTAGTAAATATTTCAATGAGACCTTATGGTAAACGTAGGTCATTTGAAGCAAATAATTTTATTCAAAAGATCTGCATTCTAGATTCAGTGTCAGAACTGCAAATCAATGCACTAATTTATTATGGAGATAGCCTGGGTTTTTCCAAGCAAATTATATTATTAATCAAACTGAAAAGCAGGTGTATTCTATTGTAAAAATATCCATCATATAGAACAATTTCCATTGCTGTCAAGCCCTTTCAATATTTGATGAAGTAATTTTACCCCCTCCTTTCAAAAGACATTTCCTTTTATTATGTATCCTAAGACACTTTAACTAAAAACCCAAATCTGAATATTTCAATAAGGTTGTTTTATTATTCAGTAGATTCATGGAAATTTTACTAGGATGACAGAGAAAATTCCACACCATTCTGTCTCCACTAATCCAGGTACATGGCTTCAGCTGGCAATATTACTAGGATTAGCATAGAATGATGAAATATTTAAAGGAAATTTTTTTTCTAAAATCTAATAAATCAAATGACTGCCAAATGTCATTAAAGTGATGGTCTTTGACTTGAATATGCTTTTCATATTCAAATTTGAAAAGAAAGAGATGAAAGCCTGGAAAGGTTACTCAGTTTCAACTAATAACCTCAAGCACTCTACATTCACATGCATAAAAAATGAAATTGGCTCCATTGTCTAATCTTACTTCAGAAACAACTCTTTTCTTCTTGCACTGAACAGATGTATTAGCATCTGTATTTTAAGTTATATGCTGAGGTTTGTTTGCCCCAAACTATTTAGCAGCTACATCAAGCTAGTTTGTACAGGCTGTAGTTCAGGAATCAACTCCAAATACCATAGCCTGTATTATTAACTGGTTCTTTTACATCACTTGAACTTGTTTGACATAATTAACCTTTGTAATTGCACACTGTAAGCAAAAAATGTTATAGTTTTTTTTTTTAAGGAGAGCAAGATAAATCCAGGTATTGACAGTACTGTTAACTCAGAATAGAACAAATAACTCAGTCATACTGTTACAAAGTTGTAACTATTACAAAGTTGTCATTATTATTACTTCTGTGCTAAACACACAAAAAACAAAGCCCTCATTTTATTAATATTAAGCACAAATACAGCACATATAAAGGAGAACAGAAGCTGACTTAAAAAAAAATTGCAAATAAAAATACAGGACTGATAAAGAACAGCATTGCTACTATGTCATATTTCACTACTAATATAAATCAGTTATACTATGTGGCCTGTGGTGGAAATATACATAGCATGCAATATATGATAGGAATTAATTTTTAAACAACTATTTACACTTATATGATGTAGACTAAAGTATTTCAATTTAAATATTTAAGGTTTTCTGCTTTGTTTTACTTTTTCTTTTGCCTTGGTCTTATTAGTTACTATTCAAGTGAAAAATGGACAGCTTGTCTTGATCAGTGTTTTGCACAGTTATATTTTGAAAGGAATAAAATTCTTCTTCAAATATTTTAAACATAAGTCTAGTAAGAAATTTCCTCTAACAGAAAAATTGGATATACCTATAAAAATAAAAAGAATTCCAAAACAAAACTCTCAATGATTAGTTCTGAGAAACTGGTTCAGTATGACGGAAAAGAAATATAGGCAAGATTCTTAGTCTATGGCAATATTCCTTCTTTCTGTACCATTTTTCATGTCAAGGTGAACATCTATTTTCTTATTTTTCTCATAATCGTGTAGATGTGAGGAAAGAAAGAAGGGTACAGCAATACTCCCTTTTCATTCTTCTAATGGATAGGATTACAGAAGCGCACCCACTTCAGACTCTCTTAAACATGGAGTGACCTCTTTGTCACCTGTTTAATAGCTGTTTTAGAGTCCAACTTGCTGTTGAAGAAGGGAAAGGCACACACAGCCCTCGTAGGACCTCCGGCCTTTGCCACATTTTATGAGTAGAACGCAGCACTACGAAGTTGGCACAGCAGCAAGGTTCAGTGCAACCCAACCAACCCCTATGAAAGCAGTACTGTTGCAGTCCTGTACCAACCTACAGCCATCTATCTATTGCACTCCCTCCAAGACACTTCCTTTTTTTGTTTTTCCTTCAGTGTTTCAACACTCAAACTTTATGCTACCAGATAACTGAGTATCAAATACCAATAGGATCAAAACTGAAAGCCAGTTAACTACACGTTAGTAGCAACTGGTCACAAAACTCTGTAATTCCAGTGCTCTGTAAAAGCCTTAACACATCTTCAATTTGTGAAGCATGATCCTTAGCTAAATAAGCATAAAAGACAAAAATGCTTAACAAAAAGACCACTTATTCTATACAGTTCAGCTGTGTTCCTACTCATCATTTAAACTACAGAAATAAGATTAAACAAAAAGTAACAGTAATATGTAAAAAAAGCCTACAGAAAAACAAACATGACAGGATTCTGGCTTCTATATGCTCTTTCTCTTTATGTGGATCATAGACTTTGATTTGATTTCAATAATACATTTTAAAAAAAATTTCTATGTGAAATAAAAGCCATTTAGGAAAAAAACCTGGTAGGAATGAAGTATCAATATAGCTTTTCCATTTGCTAAGAGGGAAGTTAGAGTGACAAAATACAACAGATGGCATATTTTTAATAAAGTTATTCTTTAATTAGATGCTAAACACATTGCATTTGTGAAGGATCCCCAATCTCCCATTATGCTTTTGTTCGAAGACAATATAAAAATTACTGGAATATGAGTCTCCCTTACACTATCCACAACATGAAAAAAGTTCTTGCTAAATTATTCCAGCTAATGAAAACCCAAATTTAGTTTCTAATCCCATGCAATGCTCAGGCTTTATCAGCAAAAACCACCAAGTTCTGTCCTGGATTATTTCTCTTTTTGATTATAGCTCCTGTCTAACAGTGACCATACTACAGTAGGACCATAATACAGCCCACAGTGATCTTAAAAATGGAGAACAGCTAATGCTGATTTTTCATTTTAGACCCATCGGTTCACTTTGACAATAGTGACTACAACGCCTTAATAAATAACTCACACTTTGCCTCAATAAACAGTTCTGTTTCATGAGTTCTAGTTCTTGTTTTGATAAACTAACTGCTGTAGTTATCTTACTTTTCCAATTTCTTAAAAACAAAAGCACTAAGCAGCTAAGGTTAGATCTAGACAAGACTAACTGAATATTGAAGATTAGTATTTTTGATAAAGCAGATAGAATCATACCAACTCAATTACACTGCAAAATACTAAAACCTTAACATTTTAGGTCCATAAAATTCAGCTTGGGTCAATTTAAGAAAAGCATTGAGTACTCAGGAATCTCCCTAAAGGTACACCTAGGTGCTCAACTCCTGCAGAAAGTAAGATTAAAAGAGGAATAGAGGAAGTCAAAGTTTAAAATAGCAAATGATGCCCAAATCACTTTTTCTTCAATGAATGCAGATATTTCACAGGAGTAAGTGCAATATTTAAGGAACTGTACAAAAAAGGCACAATAAAAAGTATTTATAGCTTTCCTATACATAAACTTCGTTTAAATATTCCCAACTTTCCGCAACCATTGCATTGCACAGATGAATCACAATCAATTGCTGATGCTTGTTAATAGCTTTTAAGAGACTTCAGTATCTAAATGAAACCCAGAGATCTAAAATGAACCAACAATGACAATTTTCAATAAACCTCTGAGTGCAAGATAATGCACTCTCAGTATCTGCAGTGAAATACAGAGATGTAAACACACCTAAAAAAAAAAAAAAAAGTGGGACCACCACCAAATGAACTGGTTTTGCCAGTAATTGCCTTATGGGCATATTTTAAGTTGGAAGCTGACAGCAGTAAATTATATTGTGATAACTGAATGCCGTATTATCTCCTCTACAGATTAAGTGCAGACATAGGGGTGAAAGGGAGGAGGAGTGAATGCGAAAAGAGGTTTTTTTAATATAAAGACCATGCCAAAGAAAATGCAAATTTCCAGTTTTGATGTCTATTTTGAGGATCTGAAACAAGGCTTTTAATCAACGTATTATACATCAAATTGATAATGTTAACTTCTGATTATTCAAATGTATGAAATATTCATAGAGAACTGTCCAAACTTTTACATTTCTCAGACTTCTTTTCTCTATTAATTATCATGCCTGGAAGCTTTTCAGTAAAAGCAGCAGCCATCAGCCTGACTGAACCTGACAAGCTAGCAAGGCCCAATTACACTGGCACTCTCTGGCACTTTGATGTGCTGGAAACGAAAAGAGATAGGGGCAAATTGTATAGCACATTATGTTAATGACTTGATTTAATCCAGCCACTAAACTTTATGTAGCCTGTTAAAAAAGATGCTAACACTAATTACACCACTTTGGAAAGGAAAGAAGGGGACAAGCATTTCATACCGACAAAGTGAAGCTCATAAATGTTGTAAATGAAATGAAACAAAATGAAGTAATCTATGATTAATTATACATCATAGACAAGAAGAAAAGAGAAAGAAGCAAGTGGTACAGCTAAGTAGTGGAAAATCTGTTAGATTCCCTTTATGATCAACATCTCTGAGAAATAACCATGAACTGTCTAATTTGCAACATGCAAAAAAGAAACAGTATGATCTTAAGTAGCTTAAACAGTTTGGCATACAACTTAGATTCATAGGATAATTAGCATAACAATCACTTAAAATCACAAGACTTATTTACACTATTTGATTACCAGCAGGATACTTATCTCACAAGATAAAAGGCATTGGTTTTTAATCTTTTTAAAAATATGAATTAAGTACCAACTTTCACATGCTGCATTTGGTAAACTAGAAATTTCAAATACATCGATGCCTAATTTTAAAATCAAATTTGTATCATGTTGCCTTCATAACCTATAGCTTTAATTTTATTATCCACTCTTCTTGCACTTTGCTACCTGATGAACAGATCTACAAAGAGGAAACTTGAACTCTCTACTTGCTCAGAAATGTTTTCCCATGGTTTTGATAACATGAAATAGAGGATGATAAGGAATGCACAGATAAACCCTATTATTGTTTGACTCGGTACAGATGAGTAGCAGTCATTTAAGTTCTCAAAGTTACAGATGGAAATGCAGTGTTTATACATATGTTTTTAGAATGTTTCATTTTCAAAAATACCTTCTTAATCTCCCTCTAGCTGATGTAACTGGTGACATTTAGCATTTCTAAAACCCTTCTACAATTTAAAAAAAAAAAAAAAAAAAAAAGCAATATTTCTCCTGAGAAACATTGCCTAAAATTGCTACTTACTTGGCTAAATTTCAAGAGCCTTTACTTAAATAACAAACAGAAAAATCAAATTACATCTAGGCTGACAGGATATAACAGTATGGTATACCCTCACTCCTTTAAAAGGAGACTAGGACAGTCCAGAGAAGTCTTAACAATTAGAAGTACTGCAATCAATTTCAAGTGCTAGATGCCTGCTTTTCAATACTGTTTGGTGAACGTTGCATAAATTATATTATAGAAGTACTAAATGGTCTCATCTTTATAAAGAACTATACTACTGAAATACTGTTTGAAGTACATTTTCCACAATGGTATTATGTTGTATTTCATATACGTGACTCTATGCTCATTAATTGCAGGTTTTTAGGACAAGCCAAAAGAATGCTACATTTACATGCACACAAATGGAAGCACAAAAAATGTGCTCTGAAATGATTTTTGAAAACAAATCTTTAGTTTTTAAATTATTGTGAAGTCAAAGAAATCTATTTGGCTGCATTGGAACGCATGCAAGGTTTCCACACTATTAACAGCCTCAAGCTTATGCAATTTTAACAACATTTAATCAAATGAATATACTGGGATGAGTCACCAATTATTTTTTTTTTCCCTTCTCTAAAAGCATCAAAAGTAAAAAACACACATTTTCTTAAGTGTGGCAAAGACAAGACTGAAGGAGAACTGAAGAATGAAATAAAGATCTTCAGACATTCATATTAGAACATGCTTAGGGAGATTTTGTCCTCACTAAAATTTGATCTCAGATTTACACTAATTAGAAATCTGTAGTTCCAAGGTTTTGTTGGTCCTAACAAATGCAGCACAGAAAGATACCAGTAATTATTAATAAATCTCCTAATTTTCTACAGTTTGTTTTTGGTTGACTCAACACAGGGAAGGATAATATATGGAAATCCCAGACATGGGAACCAAGGTTTTTCTGGCAGCAAAAATCAAGTTACAACACTGGTAGCAATGACAACAAATCAGGTTGCTAAAGAACAGCAAATAGAGTTAAAGGAACCAAAACATTCAGAAACATACAAAAACAAATCATGTCATAGAATAGAACAGTTAAACTGTATGAGACCTTCAAAGGCCATCTAAGTTAAACTGCCTGCCCACATCAGGGCTAATCAGAAGTTAAAAATACCAGTGCCTTTCTCTTCACTTCCCATCCTCAGGAGGATGTAGAGAGCAATGAGATAACCTGCAAGTAATGTTTCCTCCAGAAAACTCAAGTGGGCCACTCTTCACAGGAAGTGCCTTCCAGCCCTTTTATGAACTTTGTTGCCCTCTGGATGCTTTCAAGTAACTTAACTTCATTTATATATATATTATGGAATCCGGAACTGCACACAGTATTCAAGGTGAGGCCATACCAGTGCTAAATATACAGTCAGGCTTGACTTTTTTTTTCTTAGACTTAGCAGATTGCCATAAAACACTCCAACTGACCTGTATAATATTTTTGGATATTGGACTTGTAACAATACAGTCGTCGCTGTCAGTTTCCAATTCAACGGAATCATTTGTGTGTCTATCATCTTCATCTGCTAAAATAAATAAAAAAAATGTAGTTAAAAAACACACTGTGTCTGTAGTGAATCTGAGATTTGCTGGAAAACATGACAGTGATATATTAACTACTCCTAATAAACACTGTACAATGGTGTCCAGTAAAGCACTTCCTTGTGGAAGGCAGGAGTGGCAAACTGACAAACTATTAATGGACTACATTGTTGTTGCCTGTTCTTGTTTTCTAAAAAAATATGAATGTTTCCAAGATTAAAGTTAAGTTGTTAAGTACTTGTTTACTTAACTAAAGTTAAGTATTGTTGTTAAGTACAATGATACAAGTCCTGTGAGGAACTTAAGTATAAATATCAGTTAGCTTAATAAAAGACACAGCCTGAATTTTTAGCTCTCCTATGATTAGCTTTAGTACCACACACAGCCAAAGAAATACTCTTTTTCTTAAATAAAGTAATTCTGTAATGCAAGTAATTATTTTCTAGAGCATTCAGGCCCCTCCTTTCTGAAACAAATTACTTCAAAACGCAATAGGGATTCAACACCTTGATTTCCAATTTTACTAATGAATTCTTATGCAGAAGCTGTAAACAATAATGTTAAATTTTAACATCCTGTTTGTTTCCCTATTCTAGATATGGCTTATTTTACTAACACACAGTTTAGCTCAAAGGTGGAACCAGTGACCCAGCTGTTATAATCTTGAAATAAATCTGCTTCTTAACAACTTTATGCCGCAGATGTGATAAGGCACACTGTCCTTTCACAGCCTGAAAGGGTTTCCAATATCAGCACCGGCTGTTAGCTGCAGACAAAAGGAGCATGTTCATTAAAACAGTCTTTATAACAGTGTAGTTCTAAGAGAGAATATGAAGACATTCAAAATAGAAGCCAGCTTTCTTTTAATTTTTTATGAATCTGGGTCAGATACCAGATTTTTGCATTCAATTACAATACAGTTTCCATTTGGGATGAAAATAACACTACCATATCCACCACCCATCTACAGCTAAAAGTACACCAGAATATCATTCCTGTCATGAACCTTCTCATAATGAGGCAGCTCCCACTGCTAGTAAGAAATGAGAGGAAAAAAAGAAAAAGAAAGAGACAGATTTATTAAGGAAATATAGCCACTTATTCATAAAGAATGAATTCTACCTTCTGATTCCAGTTCTTCAGATATTTCTGTCTCATTTCCAGAGGTAACTGTGCCTTGGCCAGACAGCTGCTCTTCTGGCAAACATGAATGGTCTTCTTTCCCTTGTTGAATTTCTTCAGTCTCCTTCACCTTAACATCTGCTAGATTTTCTTGTTTAACCTTACATATTACATGCAACATAAGAATAAATAATATCATAAAACATACCTTGCAAATTATGAAGGTTTAAAACATGAAGATTTGTCACTCACATTCATTATATTTTATGCCTTTTAAACAACTATATTGTTTTGGCAGTATTAGAAGCAATGAAAAGTTTTCATGTGCAGTAACAAATAAATGATGCAGAAGACCTACAATTCTCAAAAGAGAGGCAGTAAAAAAAAAACAAAACATTTTGCTACACCACTGGAACCAAAAGCTTGCCAATTTCCCACAAGAATTTACTCTCACAATCAATTGGACTAATGCAGTATCTTCGCTCTTGGAATGCTATACATTCAGCAATATTCCAAAGTCACTACTTTTCTGCTTCATTTCCCACCCCATTAAATGATGATAATTTTTTAAATCAAAGACAAAAAGCTTTATCCAGACATAGAAGGAAATGAGTAGATATGCCTGTCTTTCTAATGACCAAAAAGAAAAAGTCACAAGAAGGGATCACTTTTTCCCCTTCATATTTCATGTCTGACTTATGAGATAATCCTTAATGATAGCACAGTTTTTAATGTACGACTGAAAAGATAATGTAGATATGGAATTCAAAGGCAACATATTAGGAAGAACTGCAAAAATGGAATAATTTCATACCTCCAAAGCATTTGGACCTGTTGGATACTATATAATTTAAAAAAATATATAGGTATGAATTTACTGGTGGAGAAATATTTACACAGGAAATTACATCCTCCTTTGCTTCTCTGCATTAGTATTGCTGTTCCAAATTTCTGCTACAGCTTCCACCTAAAACACTGGAGAATTCTTACAAATGGTTTGGGATTTCAATGGAGATAAATCATTCATCCAATTTTTAGTAAATCCTCTTTCCCCATAATTATGTGCTTAAGATCACAGAATTGTCTGAGTTGGAAGGAATCCTTTCAAGGTCATTTAAGTCCAATTTCCCTGCAATGATCAGGGACATCTACAGATACAGGTTGCTTAGCCTGACCTTGAACGTCTCCAAGGATAAGGCATTCACCACTTCTCTGGACAACCTGTTCCAGCACCTCTCCATCCTTAAGATACAAAACCTTTTCCTTATGTCCAGCATAAATGTCCTGTTTTAGTTTGAACCTTTTTCCTCTCGTCCCATCACAATAGACCCTGCTAAAGAATCTTTTTTCTTCTTTCTTACATGGCCCCCCCTTTAGTTACTGATCTGTTCCATTTGTCTTGCATGAATACATTCGAGCAGAGTCACCACAAGATTCAGACTTCAGAGAAAGTCCAAATATTTTGTGACTTAGTATTAAGTACAGAACTCTTGTCTGTAGCCAGACACTGAGACTCGCTTTTTTAAAGCCAGGACAGCTGAGCACCCATTAATGAACAACTCTTGCTAGAGATCAAATAGCTAAATCTCTGCCTTAGACAACTATACTGTGTGAAAAATTATCAAATTTTAAGAGGCTGCCGTTCAGATAGCTGAAGGTGTTGTGCCCCTGTAACCATACATCTGACATCTCAGTTGATTTCTCTCATACTGTACTTCATTCATATTTCTAGTCTGTGATATGAAGCTCAGAATAAAGCTCTAGTCATAGTAAACTAAGCAATAGCAGAAAGAGCTGTGAACAGAAAATGTATGTTACAACTGAAAAATAAATTCAATCAAGGTATTTGCAAATGGAAAAAAAATATCTTCACAGCAAATTTTTAAGAATGCATAAGTTATTTGCAATGTAATATTAACAAAAATACTCATAACATTTTAATCATTAACTGTTAGAGAACCAACAATGAATTAAAGGATGTGATTAATACAGTCAGTGCCCAGCTAAAAATCAAATAAAAATGTAAAGCATGTTTGAATTACTTCCATGCAAATCCTTTTAGACTACAGAAGGATGTGCAAAAGACACTTTACTGCATATCTTGAAATATAATTGTTTCCATAGCACGTGTAGTTGCAGCTGATAAAACTTGTTGTGCAGAAGTGACTATGAATGGTGTCAAATTTTGTATCCTATTGGTACAAAACTTCAAATTGGTTTCAATCAACTTAATTTCTACAGTCACTTAAATGTTTGTGTGAGTGGTTAATTAAAGTCACTTTAATAATCTGGAGAGCTAAGAAACAGTGCAGAGACTGTTAACCAGTCCTGTGGGAATCTGCTATAAACCCATGAAAATGGAAGCTCAAAAGCTGCAGAAGACAGCAAGCAATTTTGAGGAGCCTGTATTGTTTTCTAACCTCTATGCAGTACTACGTTATCAGCCTCTGCCTTGGACATGCCATCTTATTTAGCTGACTGTTCTCGATTACTAGCTCTACACTTTGTGCACACGGTGACCTAAGAAGGTCTCCTTGCTTCAATATGCACAAACATAATACATTAAACTTACTGTCACCTGTACTGAACTGGCATTCACAAATGACACTTTCTTGTCTGTTGGAGCTGTACGGCGTCTTGGTTTCGGTACGGGTACCTATAATATAAAAATAAAGGTGAAGTTCATTTATTGGCATATTTGAATCATCTTGAGTAAATTCTGAGGGACCCTAATTTTTCATTTTAGACAAATGAAATGGTCCTAACTTCAATTCTAAATAGGAGAGATGACGTAGTTTTTCTTTGAATAATTTCCCCAAAAACTGAGATCTCTTCCAGAATTAAGCCACAAATGAGTGTAACACTCTACAGAAAATCTATGGAATGCAAAGTGAGTTCCATGTGAGAAATTATTGTAGGACTATCCTAAGCAGTATCATACATCTGAAAGAATGAGTTATTACTGCTCATCTTCAAAAAGTTTTGAATACAAGAAAGATTTTACTTCCCAATGGATGTCCAAGATGGAAGTTACATGAAGCATTTGTACTACGCGCTGTTTTACAGTAAGGACAAATCCTGGTCATCAGAGAAGATCTAAGTGATCTGCTGCAGTAGGTCTTTCATATCTCTTAGCTTTTTCAAGTTCGTTACATTACTTACTGTCACTGATGAAGTTAAAGAAGGAGAGGAGGTTGGAGGTTGCGTTTCTTCTTCTGAAACTAATTTAGGTGCCACTGATTTCTTACTCTGAATGTAATTCTCTGAGTCTGAAGCCACTGCGGCTCCACTCGGCGGTTGGTAGGCAAACTTCCATTTTAACATAACTCTGATAGCACCAGTAAATCTTCTTTCAGAATCTGTTATTTCAAATGTACCTGACAACAAAAAGTAAATTTCATCTGAATAGGTTGGATACAGTGAATTGCAGTGCAAAGCAAAACATGCTTCAAGCACAACAGTTTTTGCAGTCCCCATTTTACTAAGTATTTCATCATTGGAATAAAGCCACAATATTGTGTTTTTTTAGAGTCAAGTATACCTAATTAATATTAAAGATATTCAAAAATACAGAATTTAGAATGAACAGGACTACTACATCCTTTCAAAATGTCTTGTAGGTTCTCTGGTAACCTAATACAAGATAAGTAATTCTTACTAACATGGTTCAAAATTTTTAACTTAAACATCCTCATTTTCTACTAATACTTATTTTTGTTAAATATATAAATTGAATTTTAAAATCCATCCATTGCCAAATATTTATCTAAGACGAAACATTAAATTCACTTGGAATTTTTCGCCTATTTTCCCTTTCTGTGGAGGTAATTACAAATTACATTTCACAGTAATCGTATCGTAAAATTTTCAATAAACAATTCCATATGCATCTTATAGTTGGTGATCAAAACAATCATTAAGTAGGTTTTGCGTTATATATGCCACAGCAAATTTGTAAATGATATTAATTTGTGGGTGAATTTCACAACACAAAATGGAAAAATGGGCCTGACAGTCCTGAAGTTCTATGATAGCAAATGCAAAGTCCTGCATCTGCCCCAGAATATCTTCAAGAAGCAGTAGAGGCTGGGGGTTGGTAAGCAACAAGCAGCCTTCCTTTCAGGGAAGAGAAAAAAAACTGGTCCTGTTTTGAGTAACATAATAGGAGCCAGTAAAGCTGTGTTTTTGCAACAATGAAGACCAACTGCACTCCAGATTCCATCAGCCAGAATTCTTACTCTATTTAACACCTATGAGATGGCATCTGGAATACCGTGGCCACTCCTGCACAACAACAGACACTGACACATTTGAGCAAGTCAATTGGAGGACTACCAAGACATTCAGGGAGTTGGAGCACGTGACATAGAAGAGCCTCAAAGAAGTGGATTTGCTTGACCTTCAGAAAAGACAGCTCTGACTGGAGGTATGTTATTGCTGTCTGCAGCCACTACTTGTAGAATGTAGAAAAGATGGAACCATGGGTGCACAGCAGGAAGAGGAGAGCCAACAGTTAAGTTGAAATATTGGAAAGAAAAAGGTACTTTCCTTCTTTTTTTTATTTTTTTTTAAATCACAGCGGAAGTCAAACACTGGAACAAGTGCCAACCTGACAGTAGATCTCTATTCTTTGAGATACTCCAAATTTCACTAGGCGAAGTTCTAAAGATATTTAAAAGATATATTAAACAAGAAGTGAAGATTTTGTTAGGTTTGAAGAGATCAAATTCTTACCTGAGATAGATCTGTTAGATGCTAAGGGAATAAGAGGCACACTGGCTTTCCCTAAATAGCTATCTTCTCCCACTTCGGCATCATCAAATACATAAAATGTTAAGGATTCCCATTTCAAGTATCGGTCTAACTCTGCAGTCATTGGCATTTGGAAACACATATGGTCATCTATTTCTGGGTTGCTGCTGCTAGGAATGATGCAAGTATCATGGTGTGCAAAATCGAAAAACTTGTAGACAACATACGAATTTGGCTGACGATATTTCTTTTGGGATTGTAGACAGTTACAACATTTTATTGTAACAAGGAGCTCATTTAAATCGCCACCTGTTGAAGTGCTGACTTGGGCAGCTCTGGGAATTGGCTGTTTTATATGAAAAAGAAGTTGAATTTAAAAATTAGAATTCTTATGTCGGCATAATAAGAGATACATAAATAGAACAAATAAGTTATCTAGATGACATCCAACTACTGTTTAACTTTCTATGCCAAAATCTAATTCGTTCCATAAATTCAACTACAACCCTCTTTGATTGCAGGTGTAAGGAGATAAGAGATTAATCCCTTCAAGAATGTGATTATTTGCCTAATTCTTCTAAAATATTGTGACCTATTTGCCATTTGATTATCATGGTAGCAAAGTGTTAAGGATGATTCCACTTTAAGTGGAATGATTATGCCACTTTAAAACCATGGAGTCTGCTTTTGAAAGCTACTCTGTGTCAAGACAAAAAGAACTGCAGTTCTTTATATATGTACTGTTCAATAATTAAAATAGCACAGCAGATTTGCCTTCCCTTTTTCTTTCTCCAAAACCTTTCTATTAACAAAGAAATGACAAAAATCAGCACACAAACAGCAAAAATATATGTTTGAAGTGGAATAAGAAAATGGGTAAATTAATAAAAATTAAAGAACAGCACAAAAGCCCAAATCATACAACTGTCTTTAAAGAAGCAATCCCCAACTACATTCACCTCATAAGGCTCTGCTTTCTTTTATGCTAATGTGTCACAGCTAATTTCATTCTTTGTACGTAATTATCTGGCTTATGGAACTCAGAGTTCTGTCTGGTGGTATCTGGGGGAACATGAATCAATTTGATTTTGCATGATAACATGGTAAATATTTTTATTAAATAACCCACAATGAAATTGGTAGAGACAGCCAATCATGATAGTTTCAGATTTTCCTGAATTTTACATTTTACACTATTATTTCTAGGCTACAAACAGAATTGGGAAAAAGAGTCTTTATAGCAGTTTATGTATAGTTCACATTTCCATGATTTCTGCCACTCATAAAGGACGAAGTTTTATATTTATGTGTTTAACTAGTGAAAACCTAAATTTTGGAACACACAACTGAAGGTATTTCTGCAGCTCCAGACTAATAGAAACTGTAACATAATGTAACCACCTACACCATTTCTACATGACTTTCAGTTTCTGTATAAAGCATCTCTGAGAACTGCAGTGTTTCAAACATCTACTTTAAAAACTGTTCATTTCTGCAATTTCTCCTGTGCTATTTCCTCCTTAACAACCAGCATATTTCAATTGCTTGAATTTCCAGTTTTAGAATAATTACAACAAAATGCTCTGCTCCATGTGCCTTATCTTCCATCTGTGTTTGGATTTGTAACGTAGCTAGAAATAACAATAAAAAAATAGAGAAAACTACAGATTTGAGCATTTCACAATGGCCAGATTTTAAGAGTCAGTTAAAAATAACTTGGAGTTAAAAATACCTTTGAGTAAAAACTGATTTAAAGCAAATGTTACACTGTTGTCAAGCCCAAAGATACTCTGAAAATATCTACACCGATCCTTCACAGAATTTGTACATCATACTTCCCAGCATACATTAGGGAATCAGTACAGATTTTGGTTTAATATAAACTCACATGGTTGTATAGTAAAGTACATTAAAGTCATGCTAGACATAGAGTTGTTTTTATCAGTTAGTTTAGCAAATAAATCACTACCACATAAAGTTTTATATCACGATAATTCTCTTCATCAAGTAATAAATGAAATAAAAACAAAAAGTTTTTTATTATCTCAATGTCAATATATGCAAACATTATGAACTTTTAAAACTTTCTGAACAATTGCATCATCTGTAATACCTCAACTGAGACCTGTCTGGTTTAACATTCCTGAATAATCCACTACGATACAATGTAAACAAAATCTGGCTTTTACAGGTTAAGAAAAATAAATACAATATTTATGTAATAATTTCAAATGTTCTAATGACAGTCTATAAAAGTAAGCAACTGAAGTTTAAGACTTTGCCTCTTCAGCAAAACTCCAGCTGTGCCAATGTGGAAAAAAGAAAATGCAATGGGGAAAAAAAAAATCCAAGAGTTAATCCAAAACTACGTAATACAAAACCAAGCATACCTGGAATGGTGATCCGTCTTCCCTCAAACTGGGTGTTATATACCCTCGAGCTTTGGACTTCTCTTTGTAAAGACCAATGGATCGATCCATAGGAGCTCGGAACCGGATCCAGTATTCTAAAGTACCAAAACCTTCGACGTTTCCATTCACTCCTAAGGAAAGATGGAATCACACTTTCACTTCATCTTACAATGACTTCAAAACAATGATTTAAATTAAAAGAAACAACAACACATCCCAAAGCCAAACCAAAACCCCACTGTAGATCCTACTATTTGAAGTATTTTCTACTGTAACCAGCCCTTTTCTGCCCTTTCGATGCTTTTTGAGTATTAATTACAAGCAGACCTCTTCAGCAGACTTAACAGTTATAACTACAACCATAATTTCTTCTGTTACATATTGATGAAGGGTGAGGGTAGATAACTATGACATTTGGGCCAAGTATCAAGCACTGATATTTGACAGTCTTATAAAGCAGAAACATTTTAGGTTTTCATGCATATTACACTCATCAGATTAGTTATATATATGTGAGAGTAAAATAATTTAGTTTCATTTAAGTTCATTACAAGATCTGATTGAAATCATTTTTTCATAGTTAAGTAAGTAGTTAAGTAAGCCACCTTGTATAAACAGTGGTCTTAGAGAATGAAGGAAGCCTGCATTAAACAACTAAACCACAAATAATATATAAAACAATAATGAAAAATGAAAGAATGTCAGATTTTGAAGATCTTCTCTGCAGTGTTCATAGAAAAACAGTGAAATATGAGTAGTACAACAGTGCAAACAAGAACATTGCTCTAACTACTTTTCTCCACGCTGTCATCATATAATTATATTGAGAAACGTAATACTATCTTAATAAAAATCACCTTTACTTGTCTAATTACACTTGGTAAGTAACTTCTGTACAAGACAAAGAATCTCCTGCTATTTTTAGACAAGATTCTCTAATGCTATTTTCAGCATGTAGTAAACTTCTAATATGTCACATCAGGTGATTTTATTAATGTCATTTTTGTACTCATTGATTATTGGTAAAATTGTACCTGTCCGAAGAGCTAGAATCAACAAAAATGCTGCACATCCAATGTAAGAGTTTTTTAAATCCATTCCTTTTTCTTTTTAAATAGCAATACATAAATTAATTGGTGATCAAACACAGATTACTGGTCACATCATCACACCAAACAAAATACTTTTTCATATGTTAATTACCAACTAAATCTTCCGAGCCGTAGATCCTCCCATTCTGTTCCAGGGTTTCATGGAGGGCCACCTGGCATATTGCTACTGTTTCATGGTCTTTGCCATATGCATGATGAATCTCAAGAGTGATACTGCTATTCCTCATGTAGCTCAAGAAGCAGTCATCAATCTTCACGACATGCTGAGAAGTAAAGTGATATGACTGGATATTTCCATACAAAACAGGAGTTGTTTGAAGTTGGAAGTCATAAAATGTAAAACAACAAAAAGTTGCAGGTTCATGGTCACCAAAAGCATGCACAGCTGCAGAAGACAAGATCACTCTGATGATATGAAGTTCAAAAAGGCCCTGTCCTCTTTCTAAATGTAGAGTTGCATCAGATTTATTCACTGGATTGACTGGCAGTATTTCTGGTCTGGGTTTGTATCGTTTAGTACTGTAGACAACATCTTTCAGTTGGGCTGCAATAAAGAAAATGGGAGCTACAACATGACTGTTTAAAAATCAAAGAAAATTCATGCTTGCTCAGAGAAGTATAATTCTATTATATTAACAATATTAAATTCTTAAATAAAAACAAACAACCAACACAAATTGCACACTTCAAATCAGACATCCATGGCTAGCTTCGCATGCTGAAAATACTCACACAATGCAGTTGCATCAGTATAACACAGACTGCTAGAAATTAATAACAGTAAAAAGCTAAAATGCAGAAGCCTCATATGATGATCAAAGTAAGTATTTTTATGCTAAAATTTAGCAGAAACTTAAGATGTGTATTTTTGAAGGGCTGAACTACAAATTATATTATGTGCTGAGGAAAGAAAGAATAAATGGTTACGGAATTAAGACATAAATCATCATGCAGTCCTTCAGCACAAAACATGCAACTTGGAGACAAAATATGATGAATGTTGTTACATTGAGCTTAGTGAGTTATCCCGTTTCGGGCTTCCATTTTCTATTTATACCATACAATAAGGTCATTAAAACAATTTCAGATTCATGACGTTAAAATATTCTGTAGGCATATTATGCCATAACTTTGAGAGGTTTTGTAACACACAAAAATTTACGTAATTACTGAACAGCAAAATAAAAAAAATTTGACCACAAACACATAATTTACCCATAGAGGCTTGGCCACTTATACTGCAACAGTTGCAGCATATAAAGCACCTTCTTGACTTTTATTTAATAAGTAACAAGTCAATAAAACATCATATAGATAACGGGCCATGGAGGACCTGATCTGTTAGTTTCAAGAATTAAAAGGCGTTTCACCCGATGAACAAGCTTTGCAATCTAAGAACAATAAAAAAAATTGAAGGAATTAAATATGATTCAAAAATACCTTCAAGTTTTCTGATGCATTCAGCTCTACTATCAAGAAGATGGACATACTTTTCTATTTTTAACTCATAGCCTTTCTGTAGACTTTCCATCTTCTGCGCCATTGCCTCAAATTCAGTCTGAAAAAAAAATTACATGTGAAAAGGACCAGTGAAGCATATCTACATTGATATTGCACACGCTTTTGGCTACAAAAGAGAAAATACAGTTAGGTTAAAGAATTTGCAGTAAAGAAAAATAGCAAATTTTAATTCAACACCACAGCAATCAGTTCTAATTTTAGCAAAATCTAACATTATTATTGAGGAAAACTGACTAGTGATTCATTCAGAATAATATTCCTAATAGTTTTTGTAAAGATTGTATTATTGAACCTCAGATGGATCAAATGAAAACCAAAATATCATCTGCAATAATCCAGCACAAGAGGCTGAAAGCAGAGCGCTGTGGAAAAGGAAGCTTCATAGATAAGCGTGTGTACTGTTTTTCCTGTGTGGGCCTGATAAGAGCTCTGAGATAATCCCATGAAACCAAAAGCTTAAGGGCTCTAAACAGGGTGAGTTAAAAGATTGAAGTTGCAGTTATTTGGATCTTCTGGTTTTTGAACACTTCTTTCAGCATGAACAAATTTTATGTTAGGTTACTTCATAAAACAGACTGGCTTGGATGATGAATTTGGAAACTTGAATTATAACTTCATTTTTTCACGATGGAACAAGTTCCAGTGCTACAGATATTGAAATGTTATCATTGTGGTATCTACCACTATGAGTGGAGTTCAATACCTTGTAACCTTTGTTAATCTTATGCTGTACAACTAACATATTCCTTGTCTTTTCAAGTTCATGCACTGTTTCCACATGTATTAATTGCAGCTTCTTCATGGAATGTTCCAAATCTTCAGGGCTACCATCACCTTCTTTTTCCAAACATAAAAGGTCCCCATTCTGCTGCTGCTTTCGAACCTAGAGCAAATTTTAAAAATTACTAGAGAATTACTCTTGCAAAATATCTAGATGTTTTTGTGCATAGTTTAATATAGCACTGAAAGGAGGACACATGGTAACACAAAATAAAAATGCCATGGACCTGCACCCGCCACAATTTTATTTAGTAATGTAAACTTCCAATTGTCATACATTTCAAATGTATGACATATTCAGAAGCAATCACTCTTCTCAATCCACCTCATGCATTCACCTTCTATATACTCAATAACTACGCTCCAGTGAATGCCCAAGCCTACATTACTGCTATTACTAATACTGATGTTTCATTTTTGATCTTCTCCTTGCTTTACTTCTTTTGTTATCATTACAGAATTATTAGCTTTCAAGTAGCAGTAAGATTCTACTTATTGTAAACTTTATAAATTTCAGTAAACATGGTTTAAATTAAATGCAAGTCTTCAAGAACAGTGGAAACTTAAAGCACTCAATTCTTTCCTGCTCACTTTCAATTCAGTTCTGACAAAAAATAAAACTACAACTTATGAGCAAGAGAAAAAAAACAGCTTTTTCTATGTATTTCTCTATTAGTAAACATAGACAGGGCAACTAGTTAGCTGTGAGGTTGCTATAGCACTTTTTCAGAGCTACAGTTAGAATGTGCTCAAAACAAATTAAAGAATTAAAAAAAGAAAATGTTTTTAATCAACATTACAGGAAGAACAAGATAGTGTGATTGCTCATTTAAACGAGAAAGAGCAAGCTTTTCAGAAAGCACTATGGAATCTGGCTTGAATTCCCCTTTAGCGTTATTGCAAATCCTACACAACTCTAGGTATGAAATCCTAGTGAAATCTAGGTAACTTTAAATTTCATTCTCAAAATTTTCATCTTTCCTTTTGCTTCATTGTAACTGAAAAATGACCTGTGCACACATATATGCAGGAAGCACAAACTACTGCAGAAACAATCCAGCCCTTGAGAACCCAAGGCATTGTGTCCGAATCAGGTAACAGGAAATAGTGAACCAAGAACTAAAACATTTTTAAAAATGAAGAAGAAAAAAACAAAGAATTCTTTGCAAGTTACCTTTATGAGCAACAGAGCTTCATTGAGTTCTGTTGCATCAACATCAACATAACATTCCTGAAAGACAAATACTCAGTGAAGAGGTGGTATCAGATGCGAATGAACATTGAAGAAATACATTCAGGATAACAAGATGCATTCTCACAAGACCACTAGACATGACATTTTGAATATTATTCTTTTACTTTCAATAAGTATTTGCACTACAAATAAAGCACAGGATGTTTTTCTTGGTCGTTTTCTAAAAAGAAGATTTTACCTTGGTCAGTGAATTCATGCGATTTTTCAGTTCATCTAGCTCTTGCTTATTTTTCAGGTAGCATGATTGCAGGTCTTTGTTCTCCTGCATCAGCTTTTCCTTTTGATCTGAACATTGGGAAATAACAAAACATTGCTTAACTCAACTATAACCAAAATCAGCTTGCTTTTTCATATTACTATATGCATTAAAATGACACTGAAAGATGTAGAAACTACATATACATTGAAATACATTCTACATTGAAATCTTATACTAGCAGCAAACTAGGAGGGAGCTGGGTAGGAACCTGCTTAGGTCTGGTAGATGTGTACAGATTAAAAAAAAAACAAAAAAACAACCAAAACATTCTTACATTTATGAGGATTGAACTGACAGCATCAAAAATCTACACTTCACATATTTGCAGACAGACCAATAGGCAAGGCTATATAGTATGACTTCACTGGGTTTTTGCTTTTGGGGAAGGTTGGGGAAGAGAAGAGAGAGTCTGAGTTCTCAGTCTGAATAACTTAACACAATTTCACTTCTCAGTCAATGAACGAAGAGATTTTCTATAAATACCCACTAATGCAGAGCTATTTCCACACTGACTTATCAGGAGCAACAGGAAGAAATTTGTCTTGTGACAGAAAAAACATCAGGATTAGAATAAATAATTTAGCTATAGCAGCCTGCTTTCTTTCACACAGAAAAGTTTTAAAAACACAGAAGTTTCTAAGGAACAAGTAGTACTTTCCTGTACGCTCTCCTCCCCAGTTAAGTTATTCTCTTGAGAACAGTGTATTTTCACCTTTTTTTTTCTGCTGCATTTTTTATATAACGCATTGAAATACCATGAATTCATATTCCAGATCAGAACGATAGAAACGTTAACTGTCAGCTTGACAGGCAAGCATTAGCTGTTGTAACTCCCATCTGCACTGGTGGGAGTTGATGGGTATAATATTACACACTTAGTTGAGAATATATACTATAGCTTTCAACAGATATTCCACAATATCATTTTAATGCTGGAATCTTTTCCCGTTGACCTTCAGGGCACGAAGCACAACTTCACTATTTTCACAGAATAGCTATTCAGTTTTGAGTATTGAACTCAGCAGGAAACAGGTGGCTGAAATACTGGTCTCAAGGGGTTGGGCATGTTTCAAAAACTGACATCAGGTTAGTTTTAATTTTGCAGAGTTTATATATCAAATGACATCTTCACTAAAAATAAATCATCTGTAGAACCATTCATTGATCCTTTACACAGTAGTCTTCTCACCCATGCATGCTGGGAGTCCACAGGAGCCATTTTCAATTCAAATACCAATTAACCAGTAAAGCTTTAATTCTCTGCAGTCATGAGAAAAAAGCAATGTATTTGTACATCTGAGAAGAGACTACACTAAGCTCAAAAAAAAAAAAAAAAAAAAAAGCTAAAAATAATCAAGTATATAAGAAAACAGTTAAGCCTTCTGATAAATACAGGAGTGAGACAGCGGTGAGGGCGGTAACTTGTAGACTCTCAGAAGTAATATATTCAATGGTTGTTGGGTGGGGGGGGTCTCTCACAGGAAAAAAAAGAATCGTGGGGGGGGTCTCTCACAGGAAAAAAAAGAATCTCCCATGCTGATGTTGTTTCTTTTTCCTACATTATAAACTGAGATCTGAGCTGGAGCTTTTTTCAGGAATGAGGAGACAAGATATTCCTCTTCAAGCACTCTTATCAAACTGTCACTGATTTTCTGTCGTTTTCTGTCCACAGCAGCAACCTTTGTCCACTGCTTTTCTAATAGCCCCAGTGAAGGTTTTATAGATATTTTTAATATGGCAAACTATTAAGGGTAAGCATGAGAGAAGTTCTGCACTAGTTCTAGGCATCCAGTTAGGACAAAAAGTAATTCAATTCTTCTGCTTTTAAAAATGATGGCAGTGAAGACAGATACCCCGAAATATTACACTGCTTAAGTTTTTCCAAAGACAAAAATCCTAGATATATGGACCTTGAAGGGTGATAGAAAATCCACTTAAGCTGTAGCAAATTCAATGCAACAGAAACTGAAAACATAGTATCCTGTTGATCTATAAGCCCTGAAGGCCTATTTTGGGAAGGGCTGGTAAAGGTGAACATGGGCCATAATCATACAAACTACTTACAAGTTCTCTCACTTCATTCTGTTAGACTGACCACAAGTGTGCTACCTCTTAAAAATACACACTTAAGGAAAAAAATCTGTAGCGTATTTGGTTTACTTCCTGTCCGTTCTCTTTCTGTAAAATTCTTGTTGGCACAATATATCACAATATTGAGATAACAGATTGCTAGGTTCTAAAGATTCCCTGAGTTGTTCTACATCACACAAAAAGCACATATGAAATCAGATTTTGAGAAGAACAAACCTGTTGTTACTGTAAATGTACACAACTGTGAATAAAAATGTGTGTACACTCAAAATACAAAAATAAGCTAAATTCACTAAATTGAAGGGTCTATATAGATTTCATGTACCATTTATTGTACTCACACAATAAATGAATTTAGACTAGTGGCTTAAAAGTGGAAAAAGACTGTCTTCTTGCCTATGAGGGGGAAAATATTGACCCACTGAAGAATTAATGCAATTGGAGTTTAAGAATCTTCATTCAACACATAACCTGTATTGAGTCAATTTCTGTACTAAGGATAGTCATAACTTAAGCACACTTTCCCACGTCCTTGTAAAAGTCAGCTTTGAATTCACCACTACTAAGAAACTACATTTTTCTGCAGAATATCTTCATACTCCAATACCAGAGAAATTCACATCATGGAAAAACAGTTACTTCAAAAATGTACCTCTCTCTACTTTGAGCTTGTCAAGGATTTCATCTTTCTCTGCTAAACTAGACTTGATAGCAGTCTCTAGTTCAGCAATTCGCAGTTTCAGTTGCTCTTCCTTTAATTTCCATTCCTGTTCACGGGTCACACTGAAGACACTGCAATAAAACATGTGGCATATGAAGAACTTTTCAAAATCAACTTCAACAGAAAATAATAAAGAAGAAAGCCTTTTGTGGCACGGAGACCGCTGTCATCATGTCTTAGGAATTAAGTAAACATATGCTGGTCTGCTGCTGTTGAAACCAAGGCGCCTTTCGCAGGCTGTGGTTAAAAAACATGAAAGAGTTTGTGGGATGAGCAAAGGAACTGGCCTTAATTTAGAGCTCCAAAGTCAGAAAAGTTGGCAACACACAACATTTGTGGGACTAGAGAAGGAATTCAGATGCGTATTCCAGAGTAATCCACAGCTTCAAACCTCAGCAACTGACAACTAACAAAACCATTCTTTCCGCATACAAAACCTCTTAATGCAGAGAACTAGGATCACCCACCTGATTTCTTTTAAATCTGTGAAAGATGCAGAGCCTAAAGTCAGTTGCCTGTTCAAAGAAACGTTGACCACAAAGTGACAACAGCTTTCTCATAATGTAGAACAACAATTCTGATACCGATTAAGAAATAATAAGTAATCTTTCTTCCAGTTAAAGAAATAAAAAACTGAGGTGGTCAGACATTAGAAAAATTATTTTTCCTGTAACACATTATTTACTTGTAAACTACCAATCTGGGTGTAGTAAGGATTGCATAGACACAGAATCAGAACTGCTGAAACCACAACAAAATGTGCAGTTAAGACTGAAATATACGTAAAGACGTTTCCTAATTTACAGTACAACTCCCAGTGGGTAAGAAGACATAGTAAATGCTGTGTTTTCTTGTAATTTATACATTGAGTACTATGGTCTTCATGTTATTATTATCAAGTAGTTGCATTATTGACCAGAAAAATGCCCTTCATCTTAAAAATAGTCATAAAGCAGTTTACTGACAATAGTATTCATTAATAAGTGAGTTCTCTCCACTATGCACTTTGGTGAAGCTATCTGGTTAAAAAAATAACTTTTCTTTTTGTACTTCTGCCATTCAGCTATCCATCGATCTATCCATTCATCTATCTACTCCAGAATTCCACATAACAAAAGCCACAACTGGAAAAAAAGAAACAAAGAGAAGAAAGAAATAGGGCAGAAGAGACAGCCCACATAGTTTGGAAGACTGTACATGCTGACTGAATAGCAACTGCCAGTTTTGAGGACAGTGACTACACAAAGTGTTTGTGAGTACATAAAAATGAATTTATACCTACAGCGTATTTGAAGAATGACTTGAAGATTAAAGAAAAAATGTAGCTTGAATTCTCAGCTCCAACACCTTTAGCAAGGGTTTACATTCTCAACTCCCAGTCTTCATAAAAATACTTTCATCACTCCCTAAATTCTTTTTCTCAACCCATATCCAATCTCTATTTGGATTGAAAAAAAAACGCCTATTTTTTGAGACAGTTCTCTAAATACGTACTGTCATACAGGATGATGGTGCCTCTCACAGCACGTGTGAACTTAACCAATGATTCCAGTCCTACAATAACATATACTTAACCTTGCTGTGCTATAGTTTTGAACATAGTATGCAGTAAATACAATGCACAGAACCCACAATCACTTTGGTAGGTAATGTTACAGAGCTGCAGAGAAGACGGCATGGTTTACAATTGCTTAGACTTACCACTCTTCGAAGTGTGACTGGCTTTGATAAGGAAAGAATAAATCTTAGCAAGATATAAATTATCTTTAGTTTTCAAACTTTTAAAATTTTTGAGGTTTTTTTTTTACCATTGTGTAGCTATACATGCATTCAATATCTTTATGTACACTTACTTCACATAAATATGCAGCTACACATTACTTCAGTTTTTCAAAGATTATGCTGTCACAAAAATAAATAACACAGTAATGTTATTTTCTGACAGTAGTTCAGCATTTAGATATTTAAATGAACATCAGTTTGGCAAGAAGCCTGTATAATGCTAACATTCATGTCCCTTTGAACAGAGCCCACTTCTGCTGTTTTCTCCCTTTGAATTTTAAGATTACTGTTACTTGAATTCATGTGCAATTTGTTTGCACAGTTACTGTATTCAACTGGAGACAGAGCCATCTGGGTAACTATAAATGGTCAACCACATCTGGCACCGCTTCCTTTGGAGAGGGTTTAAGCATTTCTAGATTTGCATTACAAGGTCATATGAAAACAATTCCTCCCAATCTTTAATCTAAATGAATTGTTTTCTTGGATAGTGATTACATAATAAGAGTCAACTGACAAATTCATACTTGTTCTTTGTAAACTTTTCAGATCTAATTTTCAGCCTTAGTCTTGGCAAAATTCCCATCAACTTTGAAAGGAGCTTCCAATAGAATGACATTTTCAAGAAAAGGGCTTGTCTTTTACAGCCCTTGTGAAAAAAACAAACAAAAAACATCATCAAAAAAAAAAAAACAACACAAGGAAACATTAATAACCTGGCACTTGTGGACACTGGCCTACCCACAGCAGGCAACAGGCATGCTCTAATATGCTTGCATTGTTCTAACTGGCATCAGAAAAGGTTGTCCATTAAACAGTAGATTTAATTAAATGATTTACCTGTTTGATAGCTTATCATAGCTTTCCTTCAAGACTTCCTTCTCTTGCTCTAGATCATTTATTCTTTGCTGTAACTAAAATGAAGAAGAAAATTTTAAACGCAAAAAGATAGTAAGGAAATATCAAACAGTAAACTGTAAGAATTTAAAGAGATGATTACTTAAAACTTGATATTGTAAGTATTGTCAGGAAGTCTTACTAGTCTTTTTCATACAACCGTGTCTAATAAGCTACAAAATACTTCAAAAACTTTTTTTCCACCATATCACGAGCTCTCTCATAATCCTCATGTGAGGTTGTGAGTCAGCATGCATGAGCTGAAGAACAACAGTATCTAGTTATTTTTTTGTCTTAAGCTGTATAATTTTTTTTTTTTTTTTTTTGCATTAGAAATGCTCAATTCAGTAAATAAATAGCAAAATACGATCAACGAGTCAAGTATTATGATTGCTTCTCCTTAACATACCACTTGTTAAGTATTAGAATTGATAATGAAATTCTGTGCATTTCTTCAACGTCCAAACACTGGTGCAGTGATTACGCAGCTTGGCTGACAAGTATGGTTTGCAACTTTATGAAATGCAAGTAGCAACCATGGGATTTTCTCTCCAATGTGTTAGCTGTGGTATGATCAGGTCAGTCTTCTAAATACGTTTGAAAAGTCTATTTACTCTTCAGCAATGAAAAGGTAGTTTCCCTTATCTGTGTATATCACCCAAAGCAGTTTCTAGCCGTCTTGCACACAATCTCACCTCCTCTGTCCTTTGCTTGGTAATGGTCACCAACTGCAATTCGTTTTTAAGACGAAGGCACTCTAACTGCTCCTCTTTAAGCTGGACACTCAGCTCATCACTTTTTGCTATTAACTGATCATGGCTAGTCTTCAAATTCCTCTGGTTCTACGAAAAAAAAGAAGAAAATCATGGGGAGGCGGAGTCAAAAAAATATGCAGAATATTGTAACATGTTATCACTGTAATCAGTGATCATTGTAATGAGTGATTTTCTAACAGTGTTCCCTCCTGGCAGCATTTGATACACATTCTCAACGTGATCAATAGGAGACACTCTTGAACTAAGAAACTGGAAAAAAATTCAATTACGCATGGCCAAGAGAAGGTAGCATTCTTGTTGCTTCCGTGAACGTTAAACCCCCCATTTAGTCATAATGAAAAGAACCAAGATATACATCTGTTAAACAATTAAAAGATTTTGCTGTGGTTACAGTGGTTAGACATGCTGACCAAAAACACTGCAGTAGCAAGCAAAAATGAATGCTGACCACAGTTATGTTAATCACAGAACTTGCCGCAGATCTGTTAACCCTTAGATGTAGACACATAACTGTTTCATAATCCCAATATACTAGGCTGTATTTCATCACTAGCAGTAATTTAATAAAGGACTTGTGATTTCTTTTAAGTTTTAATTTAGTCTAATTGTTACTATTAGGGCACATTTAACCAATTTTTATATTAAATGAAGGTTATTGATAGAAACTCTATTTCCAGAATATTAGTTAATGTTACAGTGTCTGCAATTCATAATATTTAATAATACCTCATAAAATATTTTCATGTAAAACACATTTGAATTATGACTTGGGGAAAAAAAAAAACACCACCCTAAAAGCCAATCTCCTGTTTAATAAAATGGCTATATGGCAAATATATGTGTAAGAACAGATAATGTTCAATGGTTATATACAAAAAACTGTAACCTTCATGTTTTCCTTAAAATATTCCTAAAAAGTAATTAAATGAAGAAGCTGAATGCAAGTCCAATGCAAATTGTTTAGGTTCACATGAAATACGAATATCTAGGAAAGAAAAAAGACCACAGAAAACCCAGTCAATGACCATATCTTTGGCCTCTCACATCTCATTTCTACATAAGAACAATCTGAAGGAGAACAAACAACAGTGGCAGACTCTTCCAGAGTGAGATAAAGTATACAACTCATCAATTTTTAATAGTCCTTCTTCAGAGCTTCTCTTGCTCTGTCCTATATCTATGAACTACCTTTCAATAACTTCAAAAAATGGCAGCTTAAAAATCAGTCATCTACAGCTTTTCTCAGTTCTCTCCATTTTTTTTTTTTTTTTGGTCCTTGAAATCACAAGCCTTGAAGATTCTTCTGTTTCCAAGTGTCTAGGTGAACTTGTCTTTCCCACACCTCATTCAGTTTTTTCATAAGTTCTTTACCGTTTCAATAACTCAACTCACTACATGTACGGGAGGAAAAAAAAATACAAAAGAAACCTTGGAAAAGCTGCCTTTCCCAGACCACTTCACTCTTATGTCTTCCCTTAATTCCAAAAGGGTTGAAAACAAATCCAGCAGTCAAGGTCTTGATTTCTACTTCTAGCTGATTCTGAATCTCCTCACTTATCAGTTCTCAATCTACTTATTTTTTTGAAACTTCTCATTAAAAGCTCTGAAAACGTCCTCCAGTAAAATCTCCTTGCTTCAACTTCATTCTTCTTCTGCATCTGTGCCCCTACTGATGGTTTTGCATTAACTTTCTTCATAAACTTTAACTTCCCCACTCCTCCCTCTCAGTGCATTATTTTCTTGGGTATTCTTCTGTACCTGACAGTGCTGTCAGCATTTCGCTTTAGATGACGCCAAAGCTGTTTTCTATTTAGTTCTCCTTGAAAATATCCCATGATTCCAGTCATGGTAACAACTGGGATGATAATTTCAGGTTTAATGTCCCTAGTCTAAAATTGCATTCCTTAGGGAAACGTACCTCAATACGAAATAAATCCTTTACAGAGAATGAATATATACCCCCCAGAAATACTGCACAAAAGAAACAGTTGTACTGATTGCCCAAGAGCATTATCTCTTCATAGTACTTAAATTTTAGTTGCGTTGATTAGCATACTCCACATTACAAATCATGAAATCCTGGATAGTCAGTCTGCAATCAATTATACGATGGTGGTGCTCAGAGACATGATTCATCAGTGTTAAAGTTAGGGTAATATGGTTAGGCTGTGGTTGGACTTGATGATTTTGAGGGTCTTTTACAACCTGAGCAATTCTGATTCTATGATAATCAAGCATTTAAGTCAGATAGTTTCAGAGTCCTTTATTCTTGGATGAAGATTACTAAATTTCCTTCATTCAACTGGTTACATTAAAATTCTTTAACAACAAAACTGCAAAAATGTTTGGTAGCAACTTCAACTTAAATATTACTACATGGAAAACAATTTTAGGCTCTTAACATCCCACAGTTTCACAACTTTTTGGCTGATTCAAGTTTAAACAAACTTTTAAGCAAACAGATATTATTCAGCTTTACCAATTGAAATGTGTATACAAACAATAATGAACTCCCTGCAAGCATACACAATTCTGTTAGCACATTTGTGAAGAAGCAGAAAAATATCATATCACTAGGATCCTGCATTTTCTGATGGTGTTCTCATAAATTTTGTGTATTCAGCAATAACTTGGAATCAAGAGATGTGTATACTTATCTTCCATTAAAGCACGATCATACGAGAGTAATGCAATGTCATCACTGTCCAAATCATAATTACCTCTTGAAGCTGGAGAAATTTTCTTTCCACATTTGAAAGAGCACTGCTTTTCTCAAACAGCTGTCTGCGGACCTTAATCATTTCCACATTGTCTCGAATGTTTGACCTTCAAAATCGTATTAAAAAGAAACACATCATGAGCTTGAAGATGACAAAATGACTTGTCCCATTATTTTTGTCTTGTTAAGTTGATATCGTGGAAATCAACTTTCTACAATACATTTGGGAGAAGATCTAGCATGTGGTAGCCAACTTAATTTTGCCTTCTATGATTTACGTTACAGAATGTAAGTAATTCAGGATTCATAGGAGCAATCAATATGCAGCGATGTTGGTTTTATCATACACTACATAATAGAGAAAAAGAAAACAATCCATAACCTAGAGATTATTTGTTTTCCAATCAATTCTTTTCCACCTTTCGAAGTACTTGTTACCATTTTATGGAATTTTCTTTTACATTTTACACCTGTGAAATATTGTTAAGAAAACTGACTTAGCAGAACCAATCTTGATCATTTGAAAAGTAATTTCTCATCCAATATTTATTTGTTTTAAGTATATTGGAGGAATTGTCATAGTGCCAGATTGGACCAAGAAAATAGACAAAAAAATGTATTCATCTGTAAACCAGCTGAGAATGCAAAATACTTTCCTCTTATGCTTTAAAATAACAAAGTTCACTGTATTTTGGCATTGCCAAGTTAATTGTCCTTACACAGGAGATAAACATACTCAGAAATCCCCAAGAAACACTAACACAATGCTAAGACAATCATGTGCCTAAAACATGTTATCTACATAAATTAAAGTTATGGTGAGTACAGACAGCAGCGTCGTCTCATGCAAGCTATTTAAAAGCTAATGTAGTGGCACGTTTTTATTAATCTTGTTCCACACATCAAACAAAGGCTCCGATGCCTTCAAAGGCTTTTTCTTTTCCTCCCCCCACCCCCTTCTTTTTTTAAGCAGAGAGCTTTTTTTTTTTTCCTCTCTCTTTTAAGTAAAAAAAGGAGCAGATGATAGAGAAATTTATGATGTACAGATGTAAACCCCATGGCTCCTGACAATCAACATTAACTATTTTTTCAACAATGAATAAAGCACTACTTGATTTAAACAGGTTTTGGGTACTGATATTATCAGTAAATTAGTTAAACTCAGGTGAGAAAAATTACTTTTCATATTTTTATCCATTCTTAGAATTGTAACAGTATTTATCCCAGGAAGCTACATGACAAGGAGCATGCTGTTTAAGAGCAAAATAATTTCAGGTTTAGTTAAGGAAGTTAATTGAGGAAGATTATTTTGGTTTTCCATAAATGAAGTCACAAAACAGTAGAACAGAAGACAAAGTGATTATCCACACTACCTCCCAGGTAGCTGACTTATTTTGCTCCCAGAACATCCTCCCACATTTTGTAGAGTCGTTTAAAATAGGAGATAAATAAGAATTTAAAAGACCATGTTACCTTTCTCTAATACAGGTAATATTTTCCTCAAAATTTAACAAATAACCTACAAGAATAAAGCTGCACCATGATCACTCATTCAATATTTTCTCTACTGCCCTAAAAGACAAAATTTCTGCTGCAGATCCAGGAGATACAAAGGCATATCTGCAGATGAAGTCAGAAAATGAAAACAAACTGGTGCCCTTTTGTAGCAATACCCTTGATTAATGAGCACATTGATTTAGCTCTAACATACTTTCTGCCACAAGCACAGAAATAAGGAATATAAACTGTCTTTCCACTCTAAACTTCATTTAAAAGCTAGATTAAAAGACTGGAATTGAAATGCAGTTAGGAGAAAGCGACTCTTTAAAATACTAGGTCTTAAGTTGATATTTGTTGATATTTGCAGAACAGTGAAAACAATCTCTTTTCCAGGCCTCATATCTTTTGGATTAAAACAATAGAGTAGGATCCCAACAATAGACTGGGGAGCAGCTGTGTGGAAATGGGGGTCCAATAGCAACCTTCAACAGAAGGAAATGATTAATTAAAGAATCTTGACCAGCACTGTACAAATTTATGCCAGTAATTCCCAGATGGCTACGCTAATAAAATTGAGGTCTAATTAAACCACATCTCTTGCATCTAGTCTTTACTTCCATATGAGCAGGACAACGACACAAAACCAAGATTGCTCTTAGAGAGCCCTGACAGTTCTTTCAAATGGGACTCGCAGATCTCAAACGTTCTCCTAATCACATTCAGAACAAGAAAAACAAACACAAAGAATACCATTGCTACGCTTTTCAGGCTCACATAAACTCTGTCTGGCAAAGTAAGCAAAAGGCTTCTAGGCTAACAGTGTTTAACCACAACTACACCAAAGAGCAAGACAGGACTCCCAAGAAGAGAAGTAAAGAAAAGAACAGCAATATGCAGTACCCTTTTATTTTACAACACTTGGGAAGTAACAAAATCATATACTGACATACATTATTGTTCTTTCCCTTACCTCTTGTCCCTTAAAGGAAGTGAAAGATAAAGAGAGAAAAAACAATGACCTTTTAGTAACACCTTTATGTTGTGTAACTGAAAGCATAGTTGTAGAAAACAAAAGCAATGGTATCAATAGCTGGAAGCATACATACATACATTATGAAGGTTATTTTAATGCCAATATAAAAGTCTGTATTTGTTTGTCTGGCTGATAGAGCTAACCCCAAATGACAAAAACATCACGATCTTTAGGAAAATAGGTTCAGCATGAGAAATCTGATATGGAAACACTAATTAAAGTTGTTTTGATATTTGATACGATTTAGAAGAGCCCTATACATGCTGCAGTCTCTCAAAACAATACAAATACAATGAGGCGAACATGTTCCACATTTTAGTCCAGGTCTGCAATGTTATAATTCAAACACTGAAGTCAGCAGTACATCATCAAATATGATGTTTCCTGTCTAGAAATCCCAAAGTGTAGCAAGTGCAACTCCAGAACAACCTTGCAACAAAAACAAACAAATAAATAAATAAATAAATAAATCAAATGAATAAAAAACCTGACAAATAAGCATCCTTATTTTTACAAAAGAAGCAGCAGAAGTAGTCAAAAACCTAGAAAACACAAACAGATATAAATGCCAAATACCTGTTTTACTGGTGCTTTCCAGAGATGGTTTTTAAAATGATTTGTGGAAATTAGCATGAGAATCCAAGGTACTGAAGCTTGCTGCTCACAAACTGTGATTATTGAGACTGAAAGTTTTAACTAACACACTGTATGTCACAGACAACAAAACATGAGATTATAATGCTTTCTGGCCACTTTTAATTTGGAAACACTCAAGCTAAATGCAATTAAAGTTTGTACTTAAGAAAAGGTTTAGTCTAACAATCCACAAGTTAGAGTTAGTGTTCTAATTCAAGTTCCTTGAGTAAGAATTAAGCCAGAATTCATTTTTCTGAAACAATTCCCAAACAGTCACTAATGGAATACTGAAATAAACACTGGCTGCAGATGCGTTAAAATGATCAACCAAGGTGGATGCTGTGTAACAGCTAAATTCACACAATCATACAGAATTGTAGGGATTGGAAGAGACCTCTGGGAATCATTAAGACCATTGCCCTTGCTAAAGCAGGTTCCCTACAGTATATATTGCAGTGTATTGTTATGTCATTCTTGTGTTGTTATATAGAAATTGTAGTCAAGAAAGCTGGGTGAGCAAAGATAGCTTTAAAATATTAATGGGCTTCCTTCACTTACAGGACTCGGAATAACAAGCATCTTTCTCCCTTATTGCTGATAAATCCATGAGTATCAACCGTAGCTGCTTTACTACATTAAAAAAATCCTTCAGTTATTCAAATCACAACAATTTCATAATCAGCTAGCAGAATAAAGAATGCTTTTCTAAAGTTTGGAAGTTACATACAGGAAAACTGGAAAAAGCATCTTTCTTTTAGCATCTCACAGTTCCTAAACAATTATAACAAATTAACTCCCCTGTGTCTGGGGAGTTAATTAGATGACATCCAAGTGTATTCTAAGAAGATACAAGGAAAAGTTGCCAACTGTAGAAAAACTGAAAGATATATGCTATAAAAGCAAAATAAGAGGACCTTACCAGTTACCCAAATTTCCAGTTTTTCCTCATAGCACTATTCAAAAACTTGTATTGATGCAAAGAAGATCAGACTTTTTTTGTCATTCTTGTGTTTATTTGAGTGAAACCATTAATGCAGCCTGTTCTTAGTAACACGGGATTTTCAAGAATGAAAGCTAATGAAAACCTAAAGATAATTTCTACAGGTACCTACAATTACACATAAACCTGCTGAGAACAGTAGCTATGATTCACTCACTGCAAACAATAAGACTTGAAAAACATGGGAATTAATAGCTTTCCATTAACTATTCTGGCAGTGAAATTATGGGGGGACACACTCTTCTGGTTACTAATACACATTTTTCAGCTTTCTTAGTGTCTTCAGCCAGACAAAGTAACTCTTAAGAACTTAACATATCTGTTATCAAGTTTGGTTTAGGTGACATTACTGAAGCACAAAAGAATGCACACATATAATAACGTGATCCCCTAGGAAGGCAAAAGTAACTATATGTCTCCCCCACATCCAAGTAAAACTTCCATTGACATCTCATGAGGAAGGAACAGAACAGGACCCTATTTGATCCTTAACACAAAAGTACCAGGTTGAATTTGAAACAGTAGGCAAATATATCTAAAGTTACACAATTCTGCACAAATTGTTGTAAAACTGGAAGAAGAAAGAGTGAGAGAAGAGATCAAATTCACAAACACTTTACTGTGAGACATTTCACAAGAATGTTTATCTGAATTTGTATTGAAGAACTGACAGATGAACAAATTTTAATGATCTCAACTTCAGTGGAATCTGACTCAGCTGGAAATCAATTCTCCAAAATGTTATCTGTTTGCTTAAAAGAAAAATCAAGCAAAAAACAATCTTCACAAAGCATTATCATAACTTTCTCCTAGCTTAGAACTATCCACAGTCATTTGGTACAATAAGATATAACTTAGTTTCATCAAATAAAAAAGAAATGAATAGAACACATACTCTAATGTTCAGATCATGGAGACCTTCATTTTTCACAGTACCTTTGTTTTGCTGCCTCTTGCTCTTCCACATGTAGGGCAGATTCTTCGATTTCTTTTTCTCTCTTTCTCAGCTGACTCCCAAGTAGCTCTTTAAGATGCTCCAGTTCCTCAATGCGCTCCCTTTGGGAATTGATCACAGTTTCCCTGCCAGAACAAATATACTGTGTTCCAAAATCAGGTAAGCATTTAATAAAATAAATACATATTTCTCTGTACTCTAAAGCTTTTGAAGCATAAGCTACAGTTCTTCTTTCCCTCATATGCCAATTGTAGACATAAAAAGTATCATATAGTTTTCTGGTCACACTCTTGCACTTGGCTGCTCCACCCTAAAGTTAGAGCAACTAAGGGGTTTTTTTTTCCCAACTGTGTGAATTGAAATATCTGAAAGAAATGCTACCTGAATGTTTTTGACATTTTAACATTTTTTTTTCCCCATTAGAGTTTACACAATAAGAGAAAAACTGCTGTGAACACCTGGATTCCTGGCAGTCTTAAACAGCTCTTGTTTTCTTAGTACTCAAAGTGGTTAGTATAGAATAAGGAGTCGCTTCTAGGCCCTTCTATAAAGCTACTAAAGATTTTTTCATACAGCATACTAGTATATATAAAAATATCTTTAAAATAAAATCTATCTGCTCAAATAGGGCTAAACCACAAAGACTATGCTAACATCAGTGCAACTCAAACATCAGTAAATTCCATTCTATCAATGGCATGTAGCTCCGGGGGTTTTAGGGATAAGAACACCAAGGTGATAAAAACAATTTTTGTTAGCACTGAAGTTAAACAATTTCATTTTCTTTTAACTTTGGAAAAGAGTAATTTTTTCTTCAAGAAAACCATAATTTCTAAGAGTTACAACGACAGAAATGAAACAATACAAATAACATACAAATCTCTTATTTTAGCTCTTGCATCCTCAAGCAGACTCTGGCCACATCGTCGGGGAACAGTTTGGGGTGGTCTCACTTCTAAATACTGCACTCCCATTCCTAATAAGAAAGAAAAGAAAGAAATTTTTGTGATGACAAATGAAAAAGCATTTTGCAGATAAATATAATGCCTAAAGTAGGAACACTTAAAATCCAAATCCAGGCCAATAAATTTGCTTTTTATTATTATTAAAAAAAAAAAAAAAAAAAAAGCTCTCCATACAACTCCTGCAAATATTCTTATAGAAACAGAAAAGTTGTGAAGTGTAATTTCCAACCATAGTTACCAGAAGTAAATAACTGAGAACAAGGCTACCATAGCAAGTAAGTCTTGAAAGTAAAAAGCATCATTAATGATGGCTGCACTGTGGTATTTGCTTTCAGAAGTCCATGCACGTAATAGATCTTTTTTCCCCGAAGTCTAGAGAGTTGTGCACACATGTATAAAGAGATGAGAACAAACCTTGAAATTAAAAGGCAAATAATGTGCAAACAAACTACAGACGTAAAACTTTGTTATGAGAATGCTAAACATTCTCATATAATACTTTTATAAGACATTTAGAGATATTATAGGAAAGTCTCTCAATTTTAACTATTAGGAAACATGTTTGATAACTACTTTATTTTCAAATCTGTACTTTTGTTTCACCCCTACTACTGTGGGTACTCAAAATAAGGGCTTCAAACACAAGTTATCATGATTGCTATAAATACATGAAAAGGGGGAAAACAGTGATATTTCTGCCTGCAGGTACAAATGTACACTGATATCCAGAAAAAGACATACTCTTCTTCAGCTAAGCAATAATTGGTGTTACATGTATAAAATACTACGCTCAGTATACATGAATTTTACCTTTCTTTGTGTGTTCCAATGTGCCAGCAGCACCACTTGCTTTTTTGAGTCCAGTGTTAGTGAGAGACTGAGCATATTTGTATTGAACAGGCCTATGGCTTTGAATATGGACCTGCTGTTTGTTTGAAATGGGTTTGCTGTGGAGGACCTCATTTTGTTTCTCCAGATCACGAACTTTCCCCTGCAACTGCTCAATTGTTTCTTCCAGCTCCACAGTACGACCCAGCCGCTTGGGGCTGCCACCAATCTGCTCATTCCTTTTTTTGTCTTTAACAAGCCGTATTAACCTGGTGGCCATTCTGGGGAAAATAATAAAAAAGATGAAAAAGAATGTGAAAAGTCAGCATAAAAAGCATTCTGTTGAAAAGAACATAATCACTGTGAAGATTTCAGCATAGAACCTGAATAATAAATTTCAGGTTTTGATATAACTATTACTGCCTGTGAAGAACTCTTTGAAGATAATTGAAACCACTGTGCAGCAATCTGCTTTATAGCACTGACAAATAACAGTTTCCTAAGGCTTATCATTTAAGGTTAGTAAAGGGAGGACACATATTTACTCCATATGCTCCTTAAATGCAATTTTTAACGCATGACCTTATATAGGAACCTCTGCATGCTGTTAAGTAAAGTTACAGATTTGGGATGTGGTGGGCCAAACTATAAAAGCTGCAATTCCACAAGACATTCAAATATTGAAAGAATGCTAGTAATATGCAACATTCCAAAGATTGATCATTTATAGCATTTTAGGATTTACATACACACTTCAGTTCTTAAACTATTAAAATGCATAGGTGGAAATACTTAAGAAAGTACTCAGAAAAAAGACTAAATATTTGATGTTACCATACTCAATTTTACATTCAGTAAATATTACCAGTGTGCTTCAGAGAACGAACGGTTGGCTGAAGAATATAAGTAGATACAGAGGGCATTGTTTTTATTTGTCTTTAAAAGGATACAAATTTTGCTTTTGGCATCTTAAGAGTTGCACCTTTGATTTCCTTTAGTTTTGACAAACGTTGGTAAGCCAGAACAAAAGGCAGAGAGGGCACGTGGAGGTGATGTAATATACAAGAACAGAAAACATACCCAACAGTGAATGGAAAAAACTTGGCATATAAAGAAAGAAAAGGTGGCTTTGATGAGAAAGACAAGTTCAAGACTTTACAGAATTGGTCACACATCTTCAACCAGTCTCTAGTTTACAGGGAATTTTATTTTTGCAGGCTCAGAAAGAAAACTGAAAATAAGGACACACTTCATTTATTTAAAGAGGCTTGTTTTATTTTGGTATACTTGTGGACAGGAGCTTCTATTTAAAAGAACAAAAGCGAAACATAAAAAACCTGTAATAACTTTAGGATGTCACAGAACATTACCTGCCTGTAAACAGGCTTTTTGGTTTGGTTTTTTTGTTTGTTTGTTTTTTTGGTTGTTTTTTTTCCACCCAACTCTACTCTCTACTGGAAATTCATTCCAAGCTTCTAGATACATGAGAGATGCTGGGAGAGAAATTCAGCTTAAGGAATTGATTCCTCTCTGGTGATCAAGACAAAAGCAATATTGAGAATTTCTGGACTCTTTGTGCCTTAAATTATTAGTTCAGACATTCCAATCTGGACATTCTGTCTAATTTTACCCATGCAGATGAGTGCAGTTGGTAAACCATTTAACAAAAACACTGGACATGCTGTTTGGAATGAGCAAACAAATCAGTCGCTCCACCATGTTGTATTTTATAGTAGCCTGATGAAAAAGATGGAAGTTAAGCTAGTTTATTTGATCTTGACTCAGAGACTACTGAAATCAATTGGAAAGAACCTTTCAGACATTAAAAAGGTACAAAATAATAAAATAGTCTAAAATAATAAAATAAAGGAAGCGGCAGTACCTCCAGATGCTCCTTCAGGAATTCATTAACTTCAGACCAGAAGATATCTTAGATTTACTAAATGTTAATTATCTCAATAACAGCACAGCATGAACACGGCACAACACCACAGAGTTCTGCTGAACATAGACTGAGATTGCTTGTACAGCATTAAATTTTAGCAAATCAACTGGAAGTTGCTTGTCTATGTTTGTGTACAATGGTGTCACACATGTGATGCTACCCAGGGCTTCAGCAAAGGTATCTCTTATCCTGAAGAAAGGATTGCCAACCATATTTGTAAAGGAGCTTTGAGGTTAGCAAAATGATAAAGGTCAAATGTTACTCAGCTTCTAGGAAGACAGAGAAGGACAAAAAACAAGGAGTGGAGTGTTTCTGCAAGGATCATTTTGATTCTGAGGTAAAAGTGCTGATGAATAATTAGGCTTCCATAGCCTCTTCTTCAGAATATCCATCGTATGTACAACGATAGCACTACGTACTCAAAGTACCAGCTGCAAATTGGCAAATAGAGGCACAACTTTACAACTTCCTAGATGGAGCTATAAATACTGCCAACCAGGAAAGCATCCCATATACACACAGACAATCAGAGATTAAAACAAAAATAAAGTGCACTGAGTGATTTTTTTTTTTTTTTTTTTTGCAAAGGTACTGATCTTATGAATCAGTATAAATTTTTTTACACTATGATTGGTGCATAACTGGAGGCTCCAATTGTGATTTCTGGATAGCTCACTGATCATAGTGTACAGCTCTCCTTGTTTCCATCTGCTAAGAAGAAGTTAAAAATGAAGTCTTTTGTTCCATATTATCCTAGTCAATAATTTCTTCACTGAGAACTGAATGACATAGACCTCGCTTCAGAATGCATCTCAATTCTCATCTCTCCAAAAAACAGCCAGAATTTTCTTCTCAGTCCATAAAGACAAGGTAGTAGTAATTCATTTACCAATTTCTCTATCAACATCTCACTTGTGAACAAGATTAAGCAACTTTGCTAAGAAAACAAGTATATGGAGAGAAAATGTTGATGCTTCCATATTACTTGTTCAAAGTATCTGTTGGAGATGTATAGAAAAACCCTTTACGGTTGTAACGACAAAAACATTACTGAGACATCAGCTAAAAGTGTAAGAGACACTTTTGTACTTATGTTTAGTGCTCAGACCACAGCTAACTATACTAAGGAAGCAGTGAAACTGATTTCCGGATTTCTTTAATTGAAAAGTACCATCATCAAAACAATCCAAACTTTACACCTACATTTAGTTCTTTAATTGTCATAACACAAATTAACAACACTGAAGCAATACAAACAATACACAAGAACATCTGCTTTTTTTTTTTTTGCAAGTTCATGTCTGCTTTTGAAACAAGAGAGCTACTTCCCTTTTCTTCTTCTAATAGAAATCTCATATCCTCCTAAATTCTGATTGATCTTTACCATCATTCATGTCCACCCTGTCTTTCTTCAGTACCCGTTGACAATGTTAAAGATGAACTCTTCTTTTGACTAAACCCTCTTCAATCCTCAAGCATGTCTATAAGACCTGATAGGTTGGCACAATAACATTATTTCCAGATGTTTCATTTGAACCAGTACAATTTCCATTAATTAGGAGAAAATAGGTTCACAGAGCAAGGACTGCAGAATGCACCACATGAAGATTCCATTGGGCAGAAGGGAATATCAAGCTTTCAGAGATCACTTTAAAGAGCGTTCTGAGAAAAATCAGCACAACTGTAAGTTTGTTGTTGACAATTAATACCTGAAGTAGCAAAACAGTTACTCTGAACTGAAATAAAACCAAAACTAAAAAAAAAGAAAAAAGCTCATACCTTTTAATTGTTTCCTCTTGCTTATTTGCATGCTGCTTAAGCAAGATGTTTTCATCACGTAAACAAAAATATTTATCTTCCAGCTCCTTCTGACTGAATTGTGTCACAGGTCGCCGAGCTTTAACACTGGGTGCAGGTGCTGAAAATTCAACCCAAACCAACATAAATTAAGATTACTTTCAATACCTGTAATGTACTTCAACAACACATAATCCAGTCTCTCACTTTGAAATATTGAAGTTTTGAAGTTCCTGAGTAATTCCATTTTTTGCATTTGTATGAGGCTTTTTTTTCCCACATTCATTTGTGTATTAATTACTTTTTTCTCACCTCTGACAGATTAAAAAAGTAATTAAAATGATATAGCAAACCAGTTATCTATTGAACAACAAAAAGGAAATTGTCTAGCAAATAACATGATACTGTCAAAGACAGTAAAATGTAAGATGACCCTGTCCAGCCCTTTCTAATATGTTTCAAAGTAAACATATTGTTTCAAAACTTGAAAAGATTAACTCATAATTCTGTAAATTCACTCAGATAAAAGACTGAATCCAGTAATTCCATTCTAATAGCAACCTAGTAGCATGTCAGAATTACTTCCTACTTTTGGTTCCCATTTTGTTTAATGGGTCTGGTCTTGTTCTCAATTCAGCAAAAAAGCCTTCTTTTTTCCCAGGAAGGATGAAGAATATGCAGTTTGTAACATCTTGCAGCAGTGCCTCTCTTATAACAAGTAACATGAACAAAGAATGGGTCATTGTATCTTTTACCTTTCAGAATTTAATCCAGATTTGCAATGTTATTTGAACTCAATTTTCTGAGCGTGAATGTCAGAAACATTTTCAGAAAGAACCTAAAGAAGCCACGGATCAAAGTCTGTAACAGTAATACATAGCAGCTGGTACAAACCTACTAATCCTCCACTTCTAGATGGAGTTGAACCCACGTCTTTAGCAGGCAAGTCTCCCATGGTTCCAGCCACAGCAGACATGCCTTATCTGTGAACAACAAAATTCAAATAAAATTCTTTTCCATCTGTAACTTAAGCTGTGAGACTACAATTACTTTATCTAAAAGTAATGACAACGTTCTCTTAGTCTTCTTTCAATCATTGTCATAGTAGAAATTACTTTCTAAGACAGAGATTCTCCTATGAACAATTCTCATAAATCTGAACACATTTCTTTCTCCAGGCAACAGAAAACTTAGCTACACGACAAAGTGAGATTAGGGAAGTATTAATGTGAGAAAGCACTACATTAGTTTCAGAGTAATGTATGAAGATAGACGTTAACAACTACTGCTTCTTCTTTTCCAGTACATGCAACTAGATGATGGCCATAAAGTCAATTCAGGCAGAAACTGCATTAAAAAGGAAGAAAAAAAATACACTGCTCTTTGTACAATCTTCCCTCTCCTCCCCCCCGGCTGTTACACATCAATATAAACAGCCAATATAAATCCATATTAAATTTAAAAAGCACTGGGAAACTAACAGTGATGCTACGAAAGATCAGCATCAGAAGACCTAAGTGACACAGTACAATCCACAGACATTCCAGGGAGCGTCTGCTAACCAAAACTGATGCTAGAGATACATTTCTCTTCAGCCAGTAAAGTCTTCTATCACAAACAACTCTCCTCGTGACTTGTCCAGAAGGAAAAAAAAAAAAAGGATTAACCTAAATGCAGTTTCCAACAAAACTATAAAGCACAAGTTACATTGACCAAAGTAATTAAAGACTTCAAATACTACCTGTGCAAATAAATAACATTATCTAGTATCACGTAAGCATTCCTGATAAACTCCTACGTTATTTCAGCCTGACAAGAAGCCATACTGTCCTGTTCCTCACAAAAATTCAACTCTACACCACAGTAAGTTTTTTAACTCAACTCTGCTTCCAATCTTCTGATTATTTTGTTAAAATTTTCAACAAAGGATTATTTCCATCTCTCACTACTTACAACATACTGATCACATTTTTCTTATGTTTGGAACAAACGTTCCCTTCTCATAGTGGTATAAAAGCCCAAAGTGATCTGTGATTGCAAATGAGCCCAATTTTATTTGCAGTTTCATTGCTGCTGGGCACAGAAATAACGCTTCAAGATATTGAGGCCCACATCACGCTGACATTTTAACCAACAGAACAATTCTAATGACATGAACTGTCAAGTAGCTCCAAAATAATCTTAGCTCCCACCAAATTTCTTTGTTATGTCTCAACTCAGTGCTGTATGTAGTCATCGACTTTTCTCAATCTAGCTTTCCTACTGAGGACATTATCAGGTGTCACTGCCAACATTACAGAAACCTTCGACGCCAGATGATCAGTCCAAATTTGCCTCATGATGGCACCAAGGAGAGGATGCAGTCCTCACACCTCTCTCCACGATGCGATTGCCTTGGTCACAGTAACTGATTTTTTTCATTTTTTGTGGTTTCACGGAGGTCAAGAACTCACACACTTTACAACCACCACTCCACAATGTTTGTGGTCTATTAAATCAAGCTTCAAAAACTTCAGCACAGTAACAGTCAAGGGGGAAAATGCTGATTTTGCACTATTTGTCTCCTGCAAAAAAAAAAAAAACAACCGAACAAAAAACACCCAACTTTGCTACAGTAATACTACAGGTATCTACCTGCTATTTTCAGTATGAATGAAATCCAAGCACAACAAAGAAACCAAATGAGCAAACAATAGCAACAACTAACGAACAACCAAACACACGTGTGTTTGTTGCATAAGTAGACAAAACTGTGTCAGCAGCAATCCATTACCAGATGCAACAAAAACACAGAAATAGTCAAATTGTAAACAAATATAGCAGGGCTGTGCATGAAAGCCAGTTTTATTAGCAATACAACGTGACTAGCAAACAAATGGCAAAATAGAGCTGTTATAAATCTAAATTCCAGTGAACTCAGGTAATATTCTCAATATTCTCATTAAAAGTTAGTTCTTTCATTATGAAGAGACAGAAACAAAACATTCAGCTTTCTCCTGTGTCCAAACGCAAGTGAAAAATTTCGACCTTTTTAATAAAAGTATATTTTAGATACACATAGTTTAAACTTGTAACCTGGTTTTAGGCAAAATAGAACTACAGACATAGCATCTGACATTAAAATTCATTCTGTTACTAACATAAAATAACTGGTGTCTCTATGTTTATTTTCTTCTTTGGGGAATACATTGAACAGCAAATCTGCCCTACAGTTACTTTGTTAATATTAACACAATCTCAGCCACAAACACTGAAACAAGTTATCTTCCTTGCAGCCTTATTTCCAGCATCATTTCTAAAAGCTTGTGAGATTTTTCCACAGAATTCCAATTGACTTCTTCGGAAAGCACTTCCTAAGTGATTAAACCTGATGGAAGCGTACAGCAATGTGACAAGCAATTGTATTGAAGAGCTCAGTGTTTCTTAAAGCATAACAAAGCAAGACAGATTATAAAAATACCATCTGCAACTGGATAGAGCCGCGTGCCATACTCAACCTCAACAACTTAACATTGCTTATTTCCAAGAGAGATTTCCCTATTCAGACCTCTTGTTCCCCCCCCACCCCCCCCAAAAAAAAAAACAAAAACAACCACACGAAATTAACTTCACACATAAAGAGAGGAATTTGCTCCGTGTGTCTGGAATTAAACTATGAGAATATAAAGTAAAGAGGTTAAAGGGCATAAGCAAGAATAAAAAAGGGATTAAAGTTACAGAAACACCAACTTACACACTACAGCAGCTACTAGCCACTACTATCTGAAAAATTACTGCAAAACAACACAAGGAAATTTGCAGTGGTACGGAAGAGCAGATAGCATTAAGCATGAGTGCTTGAAGTAGCAAAGCTCATGCTATAGGCCCACGTTCTCACACAACTCACAAAGCACACTGTTCCTCTACTATCGTTCCAATGCGGCAAGAGTGAAGGGGGGAATGTGGAAACTTCCAGAAGTTCTCAGCTAGGGGTGCAATAAGGGGCACTTTCAAGCGGTATCTTTAAGACATAAACTTAATTCTTTCAACAAATGTAGACCTTCGCATGCCTTGGCCACAGTTGGAATGATGCTTTCCTCACAATACCACCACTGTGCCTCTGCTAAAGGGAAAAAAGAGGAGCCCAGCCCATCACAGTGTGCTCCCAGCCCACCTGTATCCTCAGCACACTCCTAAAAGATAAACGACTACACTTTATTAGCCTTCTCAACTATAACAGCCGCACTTTCTACTTGTTCAGAGCACACGCTTTCAGCTTTCGGGCGCCGTTACAATGGGCTGTTCCGAGGACAGAAGGTTGCCATGGCTGCTAAGGGGCGGAACGCCCCGCCCTGCTGCAGCTGAGGGGAAGGGAGCTCACCGCCCTGCCAGTCCTAAGAAACACCAACGCCAAAGCCCGCCTCTCACCTTCCTCGCACCGTACAGGCGCTCCTTGGGCTTTTCAGCCCTGCCTCCGATGTATCTCGAGGGGCGGAGGGACGCGGTCTTATTCCCTCACGAAGGCACAGAGCGCTCTGCACTTATTTTTACCCTTAGGCACAGAAATAAACCCCTCTTCAAGTCCTACAGTATTGTCTTTACTGGTTACACGTGTGCCAGACACCATAGCTAAAAAGAGCCTCGGCTACTTCAACAGCAAAGCACAGCACGATGTCAGCGTCTCCTCGAGGGCGGCAGGCACAGCCCCGCTCCTCAGTTTTCTGCGCAGGCGGCACAGCGTCTCCTCAGCGCTGCTGTTCTCGAGAGCAGCCTACTCCGTACTCACAGCTCCCGCCAAACCGCGCCGCGTCCCAGCGCTCCGCTAGCAACTACAGTTCCTATCCGCTCTTTTCCAGTTCCGGGGAGCGCGGCAGCGCGCTGCCTGATGGGAATTGTAGTTCTGGGCGGGGCCGAACGGCGTGGCGTCGTTAAGGTCAGCGGTAAAGCGGCGTTTCTTGCGTCCGTGCCGCGATGTGTGCCGGGAGTTGTAGTACTGTGAAAGGCGGGAGGTGGCGGAGCGGCGCGTGGGCGGGTTGTGCGCGTGACTGCTGCGCGCGGAGGCGGCAGCATGAAGAGAAGAGCGGGGGAGCGGGAGAAGGAACTGAAGGTACCTGCGCCTTGCTTCCTGCTCCCCTCCAATCCCTAGGAAGGCAGTCAGGGCGAGCTCCTTCCCCGGTGCTGCTGCAGGCGGATGGGCAGATCGGCAGATCGCGGTTCGCTCGCTTCCGAGTCCCTGTAGCAGCAGCAACAGCGGTTCGGGTGGGAGCTGTAGGGAGCAAGGCTCTTGCTGCACGCGCTCGTCCCGCACGCAGCTTTGCTCTGCGGCACTGAGGCGGGCTGTGCGGAGCGGGGCTGAGGGGCCGTGCTGAGCGGAGCGCTCGGGGTCAGCGAGCTGCTGGGGCTGAGGGTTCCGCCACGTTTAAGGAGGGTGAGCAGCCTCCCACCTCGCTAACCGTAAGGGATTTTGCTCGCGGGGCTTTGGGTGTTTCCATTAAAAAGGAGCGCCAGGTGCCGCGTGCAGGAATCATTGCGGTAAGTGTAAAATCTTGTCCACGACGTGTTGCGTAGCTACACTTCTGTCAACCAACTTAAAGCACTGCTTCTGTCTGCTAAGCCCGTCCTAAATAAACGCTTCCAGATCTCCCGCGTTCACGTAGCGCCGTGACCACGCGCCCGGAGCAGCGCTGTTTCGCGCGTTGCAGTGCGCTGCGATCCCCGTGCAGCGCTGTGTTTGCACGGAGCGGCGCGTGCGGGAGGTGCGAGTTTGCGAAGTGATCGCAGGGCGGTGCTGAGCGGGAGGCTCGGTCTGCTGCAGGGTTACTGAGAGGTTTCTAAGGTAACGCTTCAGCTTGCTTGCGTGGGATGCACGCTGGTTTTGGTGTTGCTATTAAAGTCTTGCTCTTAGTTATTTCACTGCAAGGATTTGGTCTTGCAGATTGCATCTAAATGCTTTAGTAAATGAAAACTAAAAGGGCTATTTCCTAATTTATTTCTTAGCTCTACAGAGCCAAGCTGGCTTTGTTCCCCCTTCTTCCTCACAGTCCTCAGCTTTCCCTCTCTGCTGAGAAATGTTTCAATCCTGTTGTAATCTTTACGTACGTGTAAAAGCACACACGTGTAAACTGTCCCCTCTAGTCCAAGCCAATTAAACTGCAAGAAAAATAGACTTTTTTTTTTGTTTGTTTGCACATTAATGCTGTCCATTCAAGGCTGGAATTCAACTATTATTTCACAGTTTATCCAAAACACATTTGGGAATTAGGATAAGTCCTTACTGTTGGTAGGTTTTGGGTATTCTGAAAGGGCAACAAAAGGAGCCCTCAAAACGCCTGAGAACAAAGGGTGTGGAAGCAGGAGGGGTTATATGGAAACAAATGAACCCTTTCTCTTAAGGGATCATTGTCCTCCTGCAGTAATACAGACTGGTATTTTTTTATGCTCCTTAACTACTGATGTTATGTTCGGGCTCCTTGGCACCATGCTAGGTTCTCCCTTCAATCCCTGAGTTGTTATGTTGTCCACCAAAAAGGCATAGAACTACAAAATGTTTTGGGTTGGAAGGAACCTTAAAGCCCACCTGGTTACAATTCCCTGCTGTGGGCTGGTTGCCAGCTGCTGCCCGGGATCCCATCTGACCTGGCCTCAATCACTTCCAAGGGTGGGAAATGCACACTGAAGGTAGAGGAAGTGTGTTCCTACTGCATTAGCACCGCCAGGGGTTCTATCAAGAGGTCCTAATCAAAAAATGTTCTTTGTTTGCCCCAAATATGAGTGAGGTTAACCCAACCTCTCCTGGAGAGCAGGACTGAAATGCGAGGGAAGCGTTTGGACCAAGGGGCCGGTTGGGTTTGTGCTTCTCCTGGCAATGTCTCTTGTCTGAAGAATTAAATCTTGAATAAAAGTTTGTGTTTTGCAATATTTGTGCGCTGCTAAATGCTGTCTTTCCAAAGCCTGGTAACTGGCTTTAGCTCTGTAATTATGTGATATGCTTCTTTTATATGGTAAGCTGTTCTTTCTCTTAAATTTTCATGGCTATAACCAGTTTTGATTTAAGCTGTTGTAGAGGAGCATTTCAGTTCCAAGGATGTGGTAGGGATTTGTTCAGAGTGCAGTGCCGTTATGTAGCATTTTCCAATTTGTGAATCACCCCCATTGGATTGAGTAAAATGGAATGCCCTGTTGAAATTAAACTATATGTGGTGATCCAAGCCCAGGAGGGCTCCTTCCTGTAGAAGGATGCAAAGTCATTACTGGGAAGAGGATCTGAAAACAAGCTGGGGAATCATAGCTGGAAGTGATCTGTGCAGCTGTGTTAAGCTCCATGTGTTGGTGGGTTGATGGTTGACGGACTTGATGAGCTTAGAGGTCACTTCCAAGGATCTTATGACTTTCTTATTCTATGATTTTGTGTTGGGGATGGGTCACAGAGCACATGTCACCTTTGGGGATGTTGCATACCGTCAAATTCTCTTGTCTTTCCCACTGCAAATATTATTATGTATAGAAACAGAGCTGTTAGAGGAGGTGTTACTCATTAACAGGAGATGCTTTAAAATTCAGTTTTTATTAATCACTTTATAGTTATTTTTATTCTCTTTGCGTTGTTGTCAGAGCTCTGTTCAGCTTCCAGTAAGCTTCTGGTTCCCATGTTAAACAAAAGCAAACGTAAGTGTCTTGGTAGGGAGTCTAATTTTTTCTTCTTAGACTTGGCAAGAAAGCTGCAGTGCTGTTAGACTGTTATCTTGATTAGTTCATCTGTAACACATGGCTGGTTTCAAGACTTTGGTTGTCAAAAATGCTTGAAGTAAGTTTCAGTATGATATATGCCAAGTTCTAGGAACTACATCTATATACTTCCTCTTGCCACTGTTTGCATATTAATGACATTGCCGTAAGAAAAATGGGATGCTCAGTTAGTCTGGAGTATTATTTTCCTTTACTTGAAAAGGATTACATTGATGGCCCAGTTCACAATTAGCTTGTGTAGCTGTTTATGCTAATTCACATTGCTGGGAAACCAAAACCAGCTTCAGAGAATTTATTCTGCAGACATTGCTGTTATATTTGTACAGCTCCCACTGCAGCTGGGACCCCAATCCAATAAAGTTATTGCTATACAAATAATAAATGCATCAATATGCACATATCTGAATATTCACAAGGCTTTTACAAAGATATTCATGTGTGATTTCACATTTGCGAGATGTTAGACGATGTGAGAAGGCAATATAAAGCTTTAAATAACCCAAAGCTTTGCATGTGTTTTATTTACGAGGAGTAGCAGGGAACACAGTAGCTTGGCCAGATTTTAATGAAAAGTTATGTTTCCTGCATCATCTTCATTTTTACTGGCTGGAAAAGATTACTTATTTGAGATGAAATATGTTGCTTCAACATATTAATTCCAAGGGGCAAAAAAAAAGTATTCTCAGAATACTTAAGAGATTTTAGGATCAGTGATGAGAAATATTACCCAGACCATGAAGTGCATCAACTTCATCTGTTCAGAGTTTGTTCAAATATTTCATTGTTTTCTTGTTTTTTCTTATTCAGCCTTTTAAGACATAAAACATTAAATTTTCCAATTGACAGACTAAATAGATTCCTTTAGGAGTTGTATTTGGGCAAATTAAAGTTAATGAAACAGCTTAGATACAGTTAAGTAAGCTTGTTGTCATGTCATATTTCTGCTTAGGTAGATGGTGTGCGGGTTTTTTTGCAGAATCAGCAGCCAATATGCCAGCAGCAATTTTGGTGGTAATCACATTATTGGTCCATCTCATTATTAATGGGACAATAATTAAGAAATAGTGTTGTTTGTAAAATAACACACGATTTGTGTATTGGAAATGGTCAGGTAGAAACCTTGCATATGCAGAATAAAATATAAGAAAGAACGAATGGCAAATGTTCCTTGCTTTTAAATTCATCACGTTCCTGCTGCTTAAATTGCCTCAGCTGCTAATGCTGGAACCATTACAGTAATGGACTTGGCAAATGAAGGAGAACCAAGACATACACACTTTATTACTGGAGGGGTAATTTTCTCTTCATCTGTAATAGCAGCAGTGCCTAGTATTGATCGGACCATCAAGATACTAATCCTCTGTAAAATTACTTGTTATATAACTGAAAATGTGTAAATCCAAATCAGTCTGTGTCCTGACTTTCTACTTACTCTGGAATCCGGAGTGGTAGATGGTTTATTTTTTGTGATTTAAGGCCTTTATATTGATGGTAGTAAGAGCTTCCTTTGCAAGAGTGAGTGCTTAATCTTAGCAATGGCCCAGGGTTGTCTTTTTGTTTTAACTAGAACATCACCCACTTAATTAAGGAGTGCGTGTCTATCTTCCTTCTCTGAATTATGTTGGTACTTAAACTCCCCAGATTTATTAAACGTGTTGTTTTACATCCAGTCTCTTGTTTTTTGCTGTAAATAAGAACAGATCTATGTTTTACGTCTTGTAACATCTTGGAGCTGAGAATGCGAGAAGAGTGGATACTGAAAACATGAATTTGTGTTTTGTTGTCTGTAGCTTGTAAGGCCATTGCATGTAAGAGGAACATCAGAGGAATCAAATGCCAGAGGTCTAAGAGGCTTCAGTTTGCTTTGATGCTGGTGGTAGTGACAAAAACTAGCGAATGGGAGCTTTTCTTAGCATGTGCTATATGTGGGTATGCCCTCTTGGGCTGGTTATTAAATTTTTTTTTTAGTTTTTCACCTATATCATCTTTTTTCTCATTCATAGACGTGTGTTAAGATTATAAGCACGTGTCTGATACTTGTTACAGCCTTTAACCAAGTGAAATTTTTGATTTTTGGCTGAGTTGTGTGCCACAAGCATCATCACAGTTACAGTGTACCAGCAGAAC